AGGTGTCCGCGGTGTTCAAAAGTTCTCTCTAGCCGGACGATGTGCTTCTTGTCTTCTGGGTCAGCCTGTTTTAACTTGTTCAATATCTGCACCTCCTTCAGACCAGCACGATGCCTGGATGTTGCTTCAGCATACTCAGAAGTATCATATAGCGAAACTGTACGAACATAGATTCCTGACTCCTGATGATTTTGATGGCCACCTCTTTGCCGGTTTCTGCATCTTGAAGAACGCGTGCCCGGACAACATTGGCAAACATTCCCTTTCCAACAGAGGAGAAGACCTGGTACCGACCACCATCAAGTTGCTCACCAAGGATAACTTGGTAATAACCCTCATGATCTGAGGCGGAGTCTAACGTCGTTGTGATAAGGGCGGGTGCTGCTTTTTTCTGCATACAAGGTCAGACATCGTTGACGGACAAAATAGTGAGGGCATACAACAACTTTCTTGACTTTCTTTCGCTTCTTCTCGGTTATAGTTGCCGCGAACATGTCATCGACATCGTCCTCCTCCTCTTCCTCCTCTTCCTCAATAGTTTCTACATCCATGGGTTCGTCTTTGAGGACTCGCCTTTGTTCGTCCTCTCGGCGATCTAGGCTGGGGTCATAGTCGGCAGCAGATATCTGATCTGGTGCACCATCTTGCATCTTCGCACGAACGTCTTCATCGTCCTCGTCCTTAGCAAGTTCAAAAATACTATCATCTGGTTGTGGAGATGCAGAATCTCGTTTGCCTGCATGATACTATACATTAATCCACGCGAGATATTTTTTGGAGAGGACCTTACTCATTGAATCATGGCTCGCTTTAGAGGTGTCGGCTGCTGAACTTGCGGAAGTATCGACAGCACTGTGGGGCTGAAGTGTATCAGATACAGGTGCAACAGGTTGCGGTTGGACCGCACTACTAGGCCCAGGGCTGGGGCTGACGCTCTTATTAGCACTAGCTAACCCGGAGTCCCTGGCTAAAAGGGCTTGACGCCTGGCACGGCGAGCGGCTCGAGCGGCTGCCTCTGCAGCAGCTGTATCGATCTCGAGATCAAGTTCTGGATCAGGTTGTGGAGGAGCAATAGGCTGTACCGGCTTCTGAATATGAGTGACCTCTGAGGGAGTTTGTGTGGATGGAGTCAGAGATGCTGCACGGGCGCTACGCGTAGGAGAAATTCTTGACAGAAAAAAGTGGTGTGAAAGGGTATTCATACACTTGGATGCGTTGATACTTACTCGCCTTCTTCTTTGTCTGAGTAGTCCTTAGCTTGATAAGAATGTCCATTGGTTGGTGCAGGTGAACGGCGATTCCGAGGTGGAGTTCGACGACGATATTCATCTTTTCGATTGTCTTCTCTACGGCGATGTTCTCTGTCGTGATCACGGTCTCTTTCACGGTCACGATCCCGACCACGGTCGTCGCGCCTGTCTTTGTCTCTGTCCCAGTCTCGAGAATGGTCGCTAGGCCTCCTCGAGTCTTCTCTGGACCGTCTAGGCTCCCGCTTATCGACACTGTCTCGTCTGCTACTGCTAGATTTGCTACGCTTATCTGTGGGAGACTTTAGGTGCACATCCCGCCAGTCTCTAGGTTCGTCTCTGTGTCTCTTGTGTGAGTGAGATTCGGCTGCGTGACCCTCCCAAGACCGCTTTGATCCTGCGGATGTGTTAGTCATCTTCTTCGAAAGCAATTGGGTTTACGGGACACCGCACGATCAACAAGGAAACGTTGGAAGAATGTGGGAGTGAGGCGGAAAATGAATGAGCTCGTCTTCGTGCTTGCTGACGAGGAATGTGGAGAGCAACAAACAGTCGATCAAGCACACTCCGGATCCAGTAACTCCGGATGGTCCGTGCGCATATCATCAATTGATTAGGCTTAATGATTCTAAGTGATATATAAACAACGTTGATTAATGACTAATGTTAATTCCCTCTCCTCTCTTGCAATATGGTAAATCGCCTTGGTGCCTGGAGAAGGGAGGGGAGGAAGTTAGGCCGCGTGGCGTGTGACTCGAATTGCAGATGATCTTGTGGTCATCCGGGCCTTGTTTGAGGCTGACATTGAGGTACTCGGAAGACGAGTGCGGAAGCCAGCAGCTGCCATCCTATTGAGCCGTTGCCCACTACGCTGGAGATTCTTATGGGTGGCTGCATCATCAGAGTCGGAAGGATCTTCAGATGAAGAGTCCGCTGTGAATTCTTGTTGTTCATCAGAAGACTCGTCAGATTGTTCTTCGTCAGTGAAGAGGCTACTCCCTTCCTTCAGAAGGTGGTCCTCCACATCCTGCTGCTCTTGGAATGTCTCGGCCTCCGGGCGACGAATTGAAATCTGTGATCCTTGACTTTCCAACCCGACACCCTCGTAAATGTGAGCTTGAGAATCATCGCCTTCGACTACATTTCCTTCGGCATCTTCTTCAGGAACCTCCTCTAGCTCCGGTTCTTTCATTTTCCCCTTCGCCGAAACTACTCTCTGGCGCTTCGATGCTAGTGCAGGTTGTGGAGGCAGGTCAACTGACTGCGATCTTGCCCGAGTGTGGCGATATGGTGCGTCAGAAGTGGCCACAGCAGATTGATTACCGCGAGATTTGCTCGACGTCCGTATACGTTTAACCTGTGACTGACTTTCGGTGCCAGCAGCAGAGGTGCGCACTTCGGCAGCGGGGCTTTGTTCTCGTTGGGCTCGCCCACGGCGTGAATGTGGCCTTCGCGCAGCTCGCAGGGGCTGTGCAATTGAAATAGCCTGTGAGCTCATCGACGCCGCTTGAACCACAGCAGTAACTCGAGCACTCGGAGCCCGTCTGGATCGTATGTCGGTGGGTGAATTGACTAAGGTTTGCTGCGTAGCCAATGGTCCATCGGATTGAGTTGTTGGAACGTCATGCGCAGGTGATCGCGGCACTGGTAATACATTGAGTCTGCCCAGAATGAATACCGTAAAGTAACTAGTTAAATAGTTGTGATACATTGTACAAAAAAAACTTACTGAGGCATTTGATCATTGTCGAAACTAATCGCACCATCGAGCGCCCCCCACGCTTCCGGTGATCTTCTATCGTTCTCATTCGAAATTTGGCCAGGACTACCATGACCACTACCCCATCGCCCCTTCTCCACAGCGGGAGTGCGAGGTTCTGATGCTGTAGCTGGACTGGCCACACGCCGTCGCTTCCGAGGCGACTCCCCTTGGAAATTTGCACGCTGAGACGTATCAGGATCATCGCGACGCCGCCTACGCAATTGAGGCTGTGCAGCGCTAGGTTCATGATTGCGCATATCGTTGTCTTGAACTTGGTTACGGGCTCGTGGAATACCGTCGGGCACCCGGTTATTCAAGTCATCAGATCCAGCACCACGCTCTGCTTGTTGTTCCAGTTCCTGATCGCTCTCCTCTTCCTCTTCCTCCCGGTGTACTATCTCCCCATGTCTAAAGCGACGCGAGCGTGGATCGTGACCGAAACCATGAGCCACAGGTTTGAGCTGCGCCGCATACGTGGCAATCACAGGATCAAAACGCACGCGATTCATCCTGTAACGCTCGCGCCAGGATTGCCATGTGTGCCTTTTCGCCCACTCTCTGAATTCAGGCTCATCAGCCTTGGAAGAGTATTCTTGTGAATTAAGATGCGTATGCTCAAGATTTAATTACGCACCAGCTCCTCTGTCAACTCCCTGTACAACAAATTCCCAGTGCGTCCCCCGTCAGAAGCATTAGGATAGACAGTTGCAATGTAAAATGCGAGATGATCATCATCATCTGCGGTAAATGGTACGCGTCTAATAGGTGCATTAGCAAACGAGACATAGGAGCAGAAGCGAAATGTCATACACGCGCCCACCCGGAGCACCGGGCATACCCTTCCTCGGTGGAGGACGATGTTCATATTTTCTAGCTCTGGTGCATTGACGGACAAAATCCCGGGGCTCGATATAGACGCCCTGCTGCCAGAGGGCATTTGAGCGGTAGTAGCGCCGGCGGATATGCTCGATGTCGGCTTCTTCATCAACTAAAATCACGTTGGCTCGTTTCTCATCCTCACATACACGACCACCATATCTCTACAACAATTGAATAAAATCAGCAATTGGAGGCTTCTACATTTAAACAAGATAGTACCGTGATCTTTTGTTTGAGTACATCACGCCCTTCCCTGACACTCGTATGGAAAAAGAAGGCCACGGGACGTCCGTCTTTCACAAACACGTCATCCTCATCATTGGATCCAGCAGACCGATTTCGTCGCGCGGCATCCGCGAAAGGCATGGTGGTGGTCAGGATTCAAAAGAAGCAAAGTATGACCCGAAAGTGCATAAATCCACAAGCTGAGCTCGAAATTCAGAACCCCGCATTGTGGTTAGGGTTAATCAGATTTCCTAATGTTGTATACCTAACCCTAATGATCGATGACAAATCTGCTTCTCTCTCTTGAGTCTTCACACGTCGAAAATCAGATTTTGGTCACAGTCCGCCAGTGAGTCAAAATAACCCAACCCAACCCAACCCACTTTTGTGTATGACGAGCTCTTACTGTCAATTCCGTAAGCATCGTGATTTCATTGGCTCAACTCGCCTCGGCGTGTACAGTAGGTCTTCCGGAGAGTACCAAGCTGGGAGGTTCCCCAATCATCCACCACATAGACTGCAAGGCTCCATCCAAAGCCATTTTCTAACTCTTGCTGCTAACGAGTTCCGAAAACATACACTTCTAATGCCGTTGGCTTGATTCCGGCTTGGTTCACAACTGGGGAGACCGGTGGAGTCATGGACACGCACAGCCATGATGATAATTCTGAAGATCTTCTCGTCATGCTAGGAAGTAAACTAGTGATAGCTCATACCGCCAGCGAAGAATTTGAACGCTTTACGAGTGTTGACTCAAGCGCTGCCACGCATCTCACTCGCAATGCACTAGTAGACGGTGACTATCCACACTCGGCAAGTGCACCAGGTCATGTGTGAACTCCCTCGATCGCGCTGGTAACCGGTAAGTACAGTATGTACTTACAGTACTTGGTGTCAAGTTTGTCTTCTATTCACACTATCACTACAGTTATTTCTTGTCGAAGCGATGAGGCTGGATATACATATTGTATGGCGCGAACTTCGATAGTTCTACAGTCCGGCTACCAACGTATCAAACTAGTTCGGCAAGATAAAATAAAGCATATCAAATCGTGATGCGAGTCCATGGTGATAAAACATACAATAGTGATTTCTTCCTATACACCAGGATACCAAAAAGCTGCAGAATTGTAACCTAGAGATCATCATTGTCGGTTGTCTGGCCAAGGTCAATCTGCACCTCTGACTCCACGTAAAAGCTGGGGAAGATAGATACAACGTCCTCTAGGTACCAGAAGCAATCGCGAGGATGCTTGCTGACGTATGGAGTACCTTGGTCAATAGGACTGGTGGAACTCTCCACATCTTCACAGCGAGCCATTTGCACCCATGTACCACACAAGCCAAGGCCGACATGGAAGCAATCTACGGACGCTGGATCGATGAGTATAGTCAAGTTGTCACGACACGGATTGAATGCATCAGAAGGGGAGTGGGCATCAGACACATCAATGTTGTCCGCGAACGGGTCCTTGATGACGGCTCCGCGACTAGAAGACGTGATGATAGGTCTCGTGATATCAAGAAGTTCATCTGTTGGGGTGCGAATCCAAGGTTCCAACACGACACGAGCGAAGCGACTTCCTAACTCCTGCTCAATCGCTGTAGAGGGAGTATCTGGAACTGAGTTGATAGCTTCTGGCAGCATTATTTCTTTGACTTTGCGCGTGGAGAACTCGACGACACCAGCTGTATGCGTCAAGGGCAATTGAGTTGGACCGAGGAAGGTAAGCAGTGAATCAACTTTGACATCAGTCCACGATACCGTAGTGTTCTGCCCTGTAGTAATGGCTGCAGCCCAAGGGTCATTCGCTGGAGGAGGGGAAATGTTCATGCCATCACCGGGCCCGAAGGTGTCATCCAAAACCTCCTTCGCCATCAACGAGTCAAGGACAACATCTGAGGATACGATTTCAGTGTGATCAGCTTTGAGCGCTTCCTCAAATGTGCCAACCGCCGACGAAGCAGGCGTATCAGTATCATCCTCGGAGTTAAGAGTGGTGGAGATGTACATGCTGAGGCTTCCTCTGTATCCCCAGCACTCCTTGCACGCAGCATCGAACATGCCCGGCAAAACTCGTGCAACCCTAGCCGTCAAAGGAAGCTCCCTGATAGCGAGCTCGGCAACAACTACCGCATGGTTTAAGTTTTCGGTGTGAGTCTCGAAACCAGCAAAAACTCGGTTCCGCTGCATGAAACGGAGGAAAAAGTGGAGTACTGTGGGTGCAATGAAAAGGTTGCGTTCCGACCTGCGTGACCCATGAATACCAGAACAACAAGTAAGGAAGTAGACAAACTTGCCAGATTAAACCTTTATCTCGCATGTATGAAGACATGAAGACCTTGATGGACTTCTCCATGTCTTCAAGGAAAGTTTCAAGTAAACGAGCCATGATATCTCCCTCCCCTTCCTTTGGCTCTAGCTGTTTGCCTGGATGGGCGACCTGTTCCAGTGGATCTTGTATAATGTCGAGGTTTATTTGTTTTGCCTTTGGGACATCATCGTTATCCGAGGCGTCACCGCCCACTTCACAAGTCATGTCTGTATTTCCCTTAGACTTCTTGACTTTGCGGTAGATCGGCAAGCTAGACAGAAGGCCGATGTACAAACGAAACTGCAGAAATAAATCAGAACACTCAAACAACACGAGAAAGTCTATACATGATCCCATAATGATCTGACTCCAGAAGATATCGGCGGCCAAGTACGACCAATCCGGAAATCATCCGCAGCTTGGTGAACCCTATCGATGAGGTTGTTCCGCCTGGATGACGGGGATTAGTTATTTCACATGTGAACAAGAGAAGACAAGTACAGTTCTATTGGCTCGCTCGTGGTGCGCGAATTTTCACCCTCTTCCCATTCCTCCCACCAAGGTACAATTCTTCCTGTAGCGTCCGCGCTCTGTCCTGCATTTCTGCGTCGTCTTCTGTCTTTATTTCTCTGAATGACCTCTTCATCGGAGAGAACCTTCACGGTAGGCAAGCCACCAAGAGCGTCAACTTCGATTTCTTCTCCAGTCTCTGTTGTAAGGCGTTTGTAGCCATACGGCGTAAAATCTTTGAAAGGAATTATGGTGACACCGTGCGGTGCTGCTGGAAACGGAGGAAAAGTTGGAGGCAAGTCGTTAGGACCTGACTTTTTGTGGAAAGATACGGGTTGTTTCTTGGACTCTGGGTTGATCGCCATTGTGAGAATCTTGGTTCAAGAACAAAGGCCTTTGTTGCATTTGGTATTTACATAGATTTTTGACTTATACGATTCCGCGAGTGCATCTAAGTAATAATACGATTTCAATCTCAGCGAATGCTGTAGTTCATATTACATAATAATAGATGCAGGTTCGACTGCGTGTCTGACTCGGAGTTAGTGCCAGTCACTAGTGCCTGTCAGTATTATGTACATGGTGGCACCGTGGGGTGGGTATTGTTTGTTCATCGCCTGCTTATATGCCCTGAGTCATGGTATTGGCGCTGGGCGTCGCTCTATGCTCTAGTTCGTGCCTCGGTATTCGACGTCCTGAAATCGAAGTTGTGGGCGGTGAGTCCTTCCGAGTCCACGTTCTCCTTCAAGTTAGGAGGGCCCTAGACTAGTATACTACAGCTGCAGGAGTAACAGGACGTAAAACTAGGGCCAATCACGAGTGTCCACATTCCCTAGCGATATGACCCTTCGCCTATCCTTGGCAAAAAATGATCCACTTCAGACCACTTTCTTTTGCCCAGAGCGTGCCATACACTACACCTCTGACACAGTGACACGTAATCGACCATTCCTTCAGGGTGGAAGTAAAGCTACTACGACGGTTTGGAAAAATGTCGTTGGAGAATCTATCCATGTGGGCATCATTGAGTGGCCAGCCAACCCTAATGACCGGCCCACAGTGGTGGTGGGGTCTAGGACAATCGAGATGATAAAGATGGGACTATATACATAGTAAGAAACTTACTTAGCGAAATTAAATGTTCATCGCTAATGGATTTCCAAACAGTCCGGAAAAGTTTCAGGGAATTCACAGCGAGTGGTATGAGTGGCAAATCCGTCAGTCTCGCGCGCAAGTGAGTATCTATGTTGTTGTACATGTAAGCATCAGCTGGTTACTGATTAATTCCATATGGACAGCTCGTGCCATTAGAGGTCGCTCGCTCACAGGCATGCATCGCCACTTTTGTAACCACGGTTACACAGGCTCTGTTCAGACAAAAGAAGTCTCCTGCGCTTCTCATATCACCGGAAGCAGTACACATCTTGGATGATATTGTTGTCACCTTTATTTACTTCGAGAGTCAGTGGCGGGAGAGAGAGAGAGCAAGATCTGGAGCGTGGGACTCAGGTTATGCTGCCGGTGTAGCTCTCTAATGGGTATTGTATTGACCAGATCATGTATTTTGTCAGATTACAAGCGGTGACCTTCAGTCGTTGGGTTTTATTAGTATCTCATTCCACCAGAAAAGCAGGCATTTGAACTCTACAAAATAATATTCGCACTATCTTTCTTATTCGCTCCTGAAAATAAGCACACACGGGACCAATGCAGTATATAGTTGACCACGAGCAAAAAGATCAGCTCTGAGATCCAGCGCTGTGCGAGAGAGCAGACCTTGGCAGCCATTGAAAGTAGTTGCGCAAGATAGTCTCATAGAAAGTTGTTTGCGATTCACAGTCAAACTCAAGCGGTGAGAATGAAAATAAAACTCGGTACATGGAATACAGTGGTTTTCGAGATTGGTGAGCAGTTGGACTTGGAGCAGCTTTTGGATGTGGAGACGAGTGACATGGAAATGAGAGGGTCCTGGAATGCCCAGCGGGCCGTCATTCAATACTTAACATTCCAAGTATTAATTCTGTATGTACATACATAGGTCAATGAGAGATAACAAGGAGAAGAGGTGGGCGGCGCCCCACTCACCTTCGCGACAATTCAATCTTCAATCTTCTTCAACATGACAATTTCTGAAAACACACGAGCGACGTAAAAGAGAAATATTAACGCGAAATAACAAGACAGCGTGACATCCAGTACATAAAATCAACAGTTTCAGACCCGGGACTGAGATGACTCTGTAGCTTCAATGAGACATTCCTTTGTGCGCAGGTCAGGTGCTGAATACACAAAAAATATTAAGCAATGAGAACACACCTGTGCAAGTTTCTCTCCTTTGGATAACATAAGGAGGCAGGACTGCAAGCCCTTCAAGCACCACTGCCTTTCAAGCCAGGAGAGGAGGTGGCGATCCCAGAAGACCTTGAATGCACAGTTCAGCTTGTTGTCCGTTATACTAAGAGCTCGCGAGAGATGGAAGACCTCGTCAGCCGCATAAGATTATCCGCAGGAAATCAGGATGGCGATTTCGCAACTCTGCTGCAAGAATGTACAGATGTCATTGTCCACATCTTCGCCGTCTAATGAAATGATGCCAGCAACGCCCTCCCCAGAAGTGTTCACCGAGATCAGATCGGCGATGGTTTCAGGTTGGCATTCATCGAGGGCATCGACAACAAACACCGGAGGCGGACACTCGCGCAGCCTGGATTGCAGGTGCCAGAGAGGGCGGCGAAATAACCCCATCATCTGGTCGCGAAGAGACTTGCTGGAGTCTAGAACCGCAAGATTCTCGCGGATAGCTTGTTCACGTCCTTCTGGACGCTAGGAAAATTGCTCGCAAGCTGGTAAGCAAGGGTCGCAAAGAAATGTCCGGTCGTGGTGCGTTTCGTGTGCTTGCGCGCGAAAAAGAATATTCCCGCGAGTGGAACCTTGCCACGAAAGTGACAAAGAACACTAAGCGGATCGAACGAAGATAACTGGACGAAACTGTGGATTTCTTTGGAGATTATGGATAAGTACGTGATGGTAGGTCGGAGACCCGAGTCTGCGTCAAGTAATACAGAAAGCAACATATATATATGGGGAAAGTGTCATGTGACGTGATGCATAAGCCGATCGGCTTACACCCTCTCATTCTCTCAAGAATTTGCTATGGCGGTTGATCTTGTTCTTCATCAGTCTTCGTGCGTCTGCTATCTTCATCAGAGCCTCGTGATTGTGTGGTACGTTCTTGCGTGGTACGTGTGGTATCTTCATCAGAGCCTCGTTCTTGTGTGATGTATTCTTGCAGTACGTCTGTATCTTCGAGTTCTTGTCCTGGCACCCAAACATCGGCTTCTGGGCCATATCCGCGCCATCGGACCAAGTACTGACACCCGCGCCCGCGTGTTCTTCTGTCGAGTATCCTTTCTATCTCCCACTCTTCCGTTCCGGCCGCCGTTACCACGGGACCCGGCCGTTGCAGTTCGCGAGAGGGGAATAGGTCTGCGTTGTTTGGCACGTGCCGTTTCAGCTCTGAAACGTGGAAAGTCGGGAAAACGTTAGTATGTTCTGGTAGGTCTAGAGTGTAAGTTGAAGACTCAGGGTTCGCAGACACTATTGCGTAGGGTCCATCGAACCGAGGCATAAATTTTGCAACTCGTTTATTGCTTCCGTTGAGGTATTCGTGTCGTCGGTGTGCCGTTGAGAGATACACGAGATCGCCTGTCGCGAATGAAGGTTCGTCACTCCTGTGTGCGTTTGCAGCGTTTGCTTGTGCTACTTTTGATGCTAGCAAGGCATCGTGTGCGTCTGCAATGTCTGTCTTAAGTGAAACGATCGCGTCAAGCGCATTCGTGGTATCTGTTGGGAAGTCTTCCCGTGTTGCGCGCACGTTCTCCGTCGTCAGTGGCGGTATCAAACGAGGTGCTCTCCCGAGGTGTAGATGGAAGTGTGTGTACCCCGTTGACGCGTTCTTCGTCGACATCATGTTGAATCTGATCCGGGGGAGTGCGTTCACCCATCCTGTTTGGTGCCTGTCTACAAAGAATCTGAGGGCCTGATCAACTGTTTTGTTAGTGCGTTCGCTAGATCCATCCGTTTGTGGATGGTACGCCGTCGACATTTTCAACTTTACCCCAGTCAGACGATGAAGCGCCTTCCAAAACTTACTAGTGAACAGTTTATCGCGATCGGATATAATGTTCAATGGGAGGCCATTTTCGCAGTACCAGTTGTTGAAGAACAGGTTGGCGATCTCTCGAGCGTTCATATTCATACGACAGGGCACCAATCGGATGTCTGCGCCTAGGCGGTCGGTGATGGTCATTATCCCGTCAAAGCCCTTCTCGGTTGGTAAAGGTCCTATGAAGTCGATGGCGATGGAGTCACCGCGGCCGTCGGGCACTGGCAGTGGGTGTAATGGGCCGGCAGGTTTCGTTGTTCGACTTTTGTTCCTCGCGCATTCAGTGCAAGCCGGTATGTAACTTTCTTCGAGGTCGCGTCTCATATTCGGCCAGTAGAATGATTCACGGATCGCTGCGTATGATTTGTCTATGCCGAAATGTCCTAGCTGGTCGTGCGCCAGCCGGAAGATAGTTTCTCGTAAATGCGTTACGCGTGGCACTACCAATCGGTCGTTGAGGTATAGTAGTCCTTCGTGGTGTCGTAGACCTGGCAGTGAGTCAGTCAACTTCATCAATTTCACGCACCAGGGATCTGTCAGGTATCCTGTCTGGATGTCTTTCAACATCGAGGTGTCTGGTGTCACGGACAATATCAGTGCGATGGGTTTGATGTGTTTGTCGAGTTCTGCGGGCATGTGTCGTGTCTGTTTTGCGTATGATGGTGCATCGTCGCATTCCGGGGGCAGTCGTGATAAGGCATCCGCCACCGTATTGTCCTCACCGCGAATGTATTGGATAGTGAAATCGTACTGACTGAAAAATTCCTGCCATCTTGCTTGTCTACGTGACAATTCACGTTGTGTCAGGAAGTTTTCTAATGTTCGGTGGTCGGTATAGACAGTGAACGGAGTCCCTAGCAGTTCGATGCGCCATTTCTTGAGGGCACGTACAACGGCCAGCAACTCTTTCTCGTGAACAGGATAATTCAGTTGCGCTTCACGCAATTGCATCGAGTCAAACGCGACTGGTTTCGCGTTTTGAGGCGTTGGGCCAACACTTAACATCGCGCCAGTGCGCCAGTCGCTCGCGTCGCATGTCACGAAGATTTTGTTCTTTCCGAGGTTGTCGTGATCGATCGTTGTCAAGCAATCACGACTTACGACTAGGCGCTTAATCGCATCGAACGCCGTCTGGTGCTTGTTTGACCAGCCGGGCCACTCGACTTCACTAGACTTTGTCGTTAATGGCGTTAGAATCCGAGTGTGGTCCGCGAGATGAGGCAAGAATTGGTCTAGGTATCTGACGAGTCCTAAGAATGAGCGCACGTCGCTTGTCGATCTCGGTATGGGCCAGTCCAGGATTCTCTTTGCCTTCGAAGCGTCCGCCTCGATACCAGCTGCTGAGATGCGGTGTCCTAGAAAGTCGATTTCGGTACAGAAAAGGGCCGTCTTCTTTGGTGAGCAAAACAGGCTCGCTTTTCGTAGTGCCTCGAGCACTAGTTTCACGTTCTTCGCGTGTTCGGCGACCGTTTCGGACCAGATAATAATATCGTCGAGATATGCGTGACAAATCTTCCCTATCAGTCCACGTAATGCGATGAACATCCTGCGTTGGTGGGTCGCAGGTGCGTTTCTGCCACCTTGAGGCATCACGGTCCATTCGTGTAGTCCTCGAGGCGTGTCGATCGCGGTGTACTTGATATCGTCTGGGTGTACTCGTGTTTGGAAAAACGAGTTAGTCATATCTATCTTGCCGAAGATTTTACCTTTTGCGCAATCACGTAGGATCTCATCGATGCGCGGTAGAGGATGGTTGTCCGGCACTGTGTTCGCATTCAGTGCACGGTAGTCGTTCACCCACCGCGGCAGTACTGTCGGGTCCTTCTTCGGTATGAGGAAGGCTGGGGACACAAACGAACTAGATGATGGCCTTAGGCGACCCGCTTCGATATGTTGGTCTAGCAGTGCGTCCCAGGCCTCACGGTATTTTCTCGGCGTATTGTATCTTCTACATTGTATTATTTTGTTTGGGTCCTTGAGCATTATTCGGTGTACGATGTCTGTTGGCAGTTCGTCGATGTGTGGGATATCATTCGGGAATCTGTCGATGTACTTTCGACGCATTTCCCTGTCGAGGCGGTCCAGTTGTTCTTTGTTGTTCTCTATGAACGCTAATGTGTCAATTCTTTCTCGCAACAAACTTGCCACATAGGCCGTGTTGGGCGTGTCAATTGTCGTATCCATTTCATTGTTGTTCCGACAATTGTCCAAGGCAGTCTTGAGTTCGTTGACAACCGTCTTCCGCAGGAGCAACATCTGGTGTCGAGACGGTATGTGTACCTTTCCTTTGCGTGCGCAAGTGGGGGGGTTCAACAGATCGTAATTTGAGCCTTTCACCATACATGTCCGCGAGTCATGATCTATAACAAGGCAATTATGTGATAAGAAAGGTCCTCCAAGGAGGAGCGGCACAGCCAGTCTCGGTGCAATAATAGCGCGAACCGCGCGCGAAGTCCAATCATGACTAACAGAAGACGGAGACAACAGAACATATTCAGAAAAGGAGAAAGGGGAAGAAAGAGAATCGTCCATAAACGCCGAATTGGCTTCGATCTTTGTATGTAGTTTGCATCTACGCAGTCCAAGCTTGTTGACGATGCTTTCATCAATCAGAACTAGATGTGACCCATGGTCAATTAACGCGTCGACACGTTCAAAGGAATCGGATGATGGTCCTGTCAAGAGACAGGGCCACATGATGTGGGCGGTTTCAAAAGGGGCTACGCACATGTCATCCTCAGAGTCAGTCCCGTCATCAAGCACCGATGATGGCATCACCACGCCTACTGGTCCCACTGCGGCAACTGTTCTTGTCTTCGGTTTCGCCGCGAGGGCGTCCGATTCTGTGAGTGCTTTGTAGGCCGAGGCGTCGGGTGCTCCTTCGGTGCATTCTCTCGATTGGTGTGACACATAGAATTTCCTGCATTTGAAACAACCTTTATGCTTCATCAGCAACGCGCGTTCAGAGTCTGTCAGTGAACCCAAGCGGGAGGACGACGTATGTGTCTTCAATGATGAGTTCCTGCTAGTGGTTGCGGTGCGTCTAGACAACTTGTGTAGGTCCTCGGCTATCTTCCTGTGAGCAGCGAGGTCCTCGAGACGTTTGTCGTTGAGATGTTTGACCTCTTCGATCCACGTCTTAAGTGTGAGATTGTCGGCGAGATTTGCCCTGAGCACGGGAATGGTCAGCTCTTCACAGATGTTTGCTTCGAGCTGGTTCCGTAATTGCGCATCTGACAAGTGTGTCGTACCGCCATATAACAAGGCGTTCTGGTTTTGTAACTCTAGAGCCCACTCGTAGAATGGTCGGTTTCCCTGTTGGGATCCCAGGACCTTACGACGCAGTTTGGTGTCCCAATGGCTTTCAAGCCAGGCGCTCTTGAGTGCCGTCATGTAGTCTGCGAATGTTCCTCCGTCCAACGTTGCTCTTTGAGTCAAGTACCAAGTGTGGAGGCGAGGGTCTAACATCCCGAACGCGATCATCTTTACTTGGTCTTGAGCCTCGATCTCCTTGTGCATGAAGTACGTCGTGCAGGCATTGTCCCAATCACGAGCGACTTCCGGAGTGAGTTCGCCAGCCAAGAGTTTGGGCGGTTTGTTGGGGGCGGATTGTTCCACTCTTGCTGACTTAGTCATCGTACGTGGATAGTTACAGGATATATGCGTGTCTTTTGTATCGGATTCAGAGGAGGAAGAGTCGTAATACCTTTTTATGGGTACGATGTGGCGGGCGGGTGTATCGTCTGAAGAAATAGACGTCAGGGGAGATGGGGGCGGTTCGGGTACAGGTTCTTGTCTTTCCTTCCTTGTACGCTGTCGCGTGACTAAAGGTTCGGAGACGGTTGGTTCCCTTCGTGAAGAAGGCAGTTTGTCAGGTCAGATAGCGGGCGGGGAGGCCCGGCGGTCTGCAAGTATGATGGTTCAAAGATTATCAGTTTCGTTTCAGTTAAAAAAAAAGTGGAACCTTGCCACGAAAGTGACAAAGAACACTAAGCGGATCGAACGAAGATAACTGGACGAAACTGTGGATTTCTTTGGAGATTATGGATAAGTACGTGATGGTAGGTCGGAGACCCGAGTCTGCGTCAAGTAATACAGAAAGCAACATATATATATGGGGAAAGTGTCATGTGACGTGATGCATAAGCCGATCGGCTTACAGCGAGCCTTGTTTCGGTTTTCGTCTCCTCTGTCATTTTCAGACCTTTCATCCTTTCGGCCACAGTGAATGTCACGGCAGACTTCCCGACGCATGCTGTGCCATGCAGCCAAATGATCTGGCTCATCTCTCGCTTGTCCAACAATCCGTAGATCAATTCGAGAAGGTTCACTCGGGTCTCTTCCAAACATTTTGGATGGGGCTGGCGTTCAGCGTTCAGGGGAGTCATATTCAGCACCCAGGACAGCGACCTGGGACAGCTTCTCCCAAGTTCCTTCAGCCATTGCTAGAAGCTCGCCAGGAACTGTCAGTCGGGTCAGAGAGCGAGAAAGGTGATAAGGGAAGGAGATATTTACATCAATCTCACAACAGAGGTTGACGATAGAATGCGACACAAAATGGGAGTCGGAATAGGTGGAAGTAGTACTAGTTTAGTTCAGCGGTGTGATTAGAAATTGTAATGGCGATGGCTATCTCGGAGGGGACAACATGCGACGTTAATTGAGGAGTCAATTTCTAAAATGTAACTTCGTTTGAAATCAAAAAGGCTTAAGTGGTGATGGCCGGTGATGTTGAAACGATCGAGCAACAAAGATATCACAGGATGCTTGCGCACGAGAATGGACGATTGATTGCGATTATATTCGAAGTCGATAGATGGCTCGTGGTTGAACGTTGAACTTTGCAGTCAAGTTGAAAAGATAAGCGGGCGCTTGTCTCGCTGCCTGCAAGGTCCGACCAGCTGGAGGGCACGAGGTGGCAGCAAGTTGCACAGGAAGTTTGGGGTAAGTAATACTAACCAAAATTCCGGATATTCCAGGATCGAAATATTCTGGTACGCGTACCGTCGACCATATCAAGGAGTCCAAATGCATCATCGCATGAACGTTTGCTGTATTATAAGCAATTGCCAAATTGCTGAACGTTGAACACCCGCGCAGCTGCAGTGAGCTTGAATGTGTTCTACTGCATGATATCGCATTCCCACACCGATATATCCTTGAAGCGTCCTGCACCCGGTGTGTTCACACTGTATTGATTGAAGGGTTTAAATCATCATCAACTAGATCCTAGATGTCAAGAGCAGGCTTCGTCTTTCGTTGTGGTACCGTCCCCCGGGAGTCGGGACAGGGCTTCGCCGAATTCCCATCACGTGCGAGAATGCTGTGCTCCCTTCCGCATATAGCCGTCCAGCGGTTGAAGACTGAAGTTCCTCAAATGCCTGATATCTAATTATTGATATCTGGTTGTGACTAGGTATAACCCGAGTATGATGCAGCTCTACTTTACAATGGACCGCGTAGATCTTGCAATGAAACCGTCGATCTTATCCATTGTTGGACGGTCCGTAGGAGAAACCGACAAGCAATGCTGGACGAATTTCACATGTTCCTCATGCATCTCCGACCCGCAACGGACTGGATTCACGCCATTGTGTCGCGCAGAAAGTACGCGCAGAACGTCGTCCAGCCACCAGTATGGTAACTTTTCGGAGAGCACCTAAAAGGTATCAGTTGAAGTGATGAAGTAAGAGTGATACATCAACTTAGCATACATGAAGCATGATGCATCCGAAAGAATAGATATCGGACGCGTTACCGAGCTCCTGGTCATCGTCGTCGATCAATTCCGGGGCCGTCCAGCGCAAAGCACTGCAATGATAGGACTGAAAGAGTTCGCCGCACATGGATACGACTGAAGACAGTCCATAGTCTGTGAGACGGACATTGTGGCGCTCATCGATGAGGACATTATTCTACATCCGCTGTCAGCAGGCTCCACCGGGACTTGGAAGATACTGACACTACTGAGATTGCCATGTATTATGGAATTGCTGTGGACTGTTGATGAAACCGGTGAGGTGTACTTAATTGGCGGAATATCTTCGTACTTACGAAATTGAAGCCCAGCTGCGACATGAGATAGCTGGATCCGGGTTGAGGAATGAGCAGAAAATTTGTTTGACGAGCTGAGAAACGCACAAGCAAAAATTTCGTAGCGATTGGGAGGTTTTGATTCTTGATGCTCAGGTAGCTGGTCAACGACCCGTTCTCCATCCAAGGCAAAACCAAACATGGAAGGCTAGAACCGAAGCCAGTAGTAGTACCGTAGATAGGTAATAGATTTTCATGGGAGAGAGACATCCAGCCTTGCACTTCTTTCAGGATGATCTAGTATGTCTAGGGATCAGCGTTGAAATGTTTCTCGGCATTGCTGAGGCTGACTTTTTGAGCCTCCCTAATGTTCTCTTCATCGTCATCTCGTACCTTAATGGACTTGACAGCGACCTGAGCAATTATCAATACTACCAAGGATATAAATAGAAATTTGCTTGACCTTCTCCTTTTTTGTCTTGTTCCGCAAGACACACTGAAAAGTATTGCCAAGCCCCCCCGAAGGTACGGCAAAGTCTTGCACTATCGTCAGCGAACGGGCCTCAATGTTCGGGCCTCGTGTTTGAATCTGTTTCAAAACTTTTATTATGTTTTTTATTGCAGAATATAGTACAATTCTTACCGATTGCACGCTTTTACGGCGGAACAAATTCAAACTGAACTTGCGCGCAGGGCCTTTCCCTTTGTCAGGAATATCAGGTATAGAACTGAGCAACGTAGACGCTATTTGTTCATTTGGATCAATAATGTGACTTGTCCCGGAAGCATGTGTCAAATGAAATGTGTTGGCAGTAACCTGAATGACCAGGAGTAAGTATTTGCATAGGAGCCTGGACAGAGAGAATACATACTTTGTACTTGAGAGATGCCGTAGCTTCATCTTGATCGGAGCATTGGGTCGATCGATTCACGGCCGAGACTTTTTGATTTTGATCTCCAGAATCGCATTAGCTAACTGTCGAAGGCACATTTTGATCAATACCTTCCGACTGTAATTCTTTTCTGAGAAATTTCAGAATGTCATTTGTGGATGGTCGAGCACGAGGTCGTGAGAAACATTGTTGTATTAGTCGCCAATGTGCATCTGAAATCGGACTGTGGGTAGGCCTCTGTTGTGTACGTCCATTTGCGACTTTGATGACGATAGTTCTCCAGTGTTTGACATCAGACCAGGGTTCGTTTCCAGAAAGGACCTACGCCGACAAAATGTCGCTATCAGCATTTCGAATAGTTACGCACACATTAGAGTCATACTTTGAGCGCTAGACAGCCAAATGAGTAGACATCACTTCGAATGTCTGGTCGGATAGATGCATCAGACTCCCCAAAAATCAGAAGCTCGGGAGCGCTGTAGCGAATTGCTCCTGGTTGTGCACAAGACCGTTCAAGATATGAAAAACCCGTGATATCCCCGAGCATGGACGATAAGCCAAAGTCTGTGAGGACAGCCCTTTTTTCGTCATTCAGGAGTACGTTGTTCTGCGAGTAAGGTAGTAAGATACTGTCAAAACTCTCCAAGATAACCCGTCTTACTGGAGTTAAATCACCGTGAACCACCGGGATGCCATGCACTACGTCAAACATGAATATATATATGAGCAAGACGTAGACACACAATGCATTGAATACACACGATAACGGAGACCCGATGCAATGTCTTGAAGCTGAATATCAAACTATTGGTGAGATAGGTGGGTGTGTTATCAAGCAGAAAAGCTCACTAGGCGGAGGCGATCAGACAGAGGAATACCTTCGTATTTCTGGAGATAAGCTGCTAGCGAACCATTTTCGTACCAAGGGGAGACCATAGATATAGAGGGGCTAAAACCTCTTGCTATGCCTAGTAGTGGCAAGATATTCGCATGGACAAGTCTCTTCCACGTTCCAAGTTCACGTCGCAGCGCCTTTAAATATAGTAAGCAAATGGGTCGGCAGTGTAATTTTGCAAATTACCTTTTCCTGTGATGCACTGGCCTCTCCAGATTGGAACCTGATTGCTTTGACTGCAACCTGGAAACATGAGATGTATGCTGGTCGTCAATGCGAGCAATCGTACCATGTCATGTGTTGCACCAGTTTGTAGCGTGCAGCGCCATATGTCACCAAACCCTCCTCCAGCTGAACAAAAAAAACAGGTGCGTGTGATACGCTCTGTGAGGTCGACGAGATCGCTGATCGACTGCCTGGACATTGCGAGGGTGGGATTTGATGAGGTGGGGGTAGAAAGGTCCAGCGTCAAGATACACACCAACCCTGCCAGAGGTTCTATAATTTGCGTAAGGCAGTTTAAATAGATGTTACGCACCTCGTGTTCACTGGATTACGAATCTTGAAGGGAACTATACCTGGTATGGCGGCTTTCTTAGTTTTTATGTTTGACAGACCTATTCTGCTAGCCGCCCATGTTGGCCCCACTTTTATTTCTGATGTATTGCCCACTAACGAAAAGAGTGAAAAAAGAGAGGAGATGTAACTCCACCAGAAAGATGTTCATGTGTAGATGCTATGCTATCAAAATCAGTCATTTGTACCAGCCAGAGCAATGAAAGATGAAACTGGATTCAAGTGCCTTGCCGAGTTGAATTTTCTGAGATGGCTGGCACTAAACTCTATACTCCGCGGGCCAGAAGACAAAATCGCTGTGATCATGCAGCGGGGCCCCACGTTGGGCAGTGTAAAAAGTTAATCTTCTTCCGAACTGGGAACCGAGGGGGGGAAATTTATCTGATCAAACTAATTTAGTAAGTACATTGACAGCCAAACATTAACAAACACAGTTATCTCTCAAGATCTGGATGAGCCACCTTTCTGCGGACGATCACGTTTGTTACCAAATCCTTTGGGGTCTGGAGGACTCCACATAGGCTCACATAGGTCTCCTGATCTCAGATGCCGCTACTCCATGTTCTTTTACGTGTTTGGCAAAGCTTGCTCACAAGTTCCAGGACCAACTTGAAGATTCAGAAGAAGAAGCACCATTCGTAAGTCACCGTCTTCTTGATCCTATCATAGATCACTTAATACGAGAAATGCTTCGCATTCCCATGCGCAACCTCACTTCGAAAACTCAAAAATAAAGATTAATTGGCAAAACTCCATCGGCAAATGTATATCAGGCTGTATATTCTACCGCTACGACCTCCAAACTGGTTCGTGCTGGACAATCAAACGCCATCTAGTGTGTACTTATGAAAAACAGGTTGCTGTGAAGTCATTGAGGATAGAAATTTTCGGAAACACGGAAGTCCAGGTTTGTAATTAATGTCTCGAGGTGATTCATAGATTATTCACGTTGCTATTTTCTAGGAGATATTAATTAGAGCTCATGTCTGGATGACGTTGCAACACGACAATATTCTTATTCCTATAGGATTCACTGATGGATTTGGACCGCTTCCGTCAATTGTGTACGATTGGATGCCGGGCGGGACATTGACATCATACCTCGAAAAAAACTCTGACAGTCTAAGTGTTCTGGCAAGGTTTAACCTGGCAAGTCTTGTCCACTCTTTCTGCTTGAATACGTCTAATTTAGTAAAGTAGATCAAGCAAATAGCGGCTGGACTCTGTTACCGTGAGCACTACAGAATTCCACTTCTGACGTACATCCCGACTCGGGTTTCTGAAAAATCAATGTAGTGCACTACAAGAACATCATTCATGGCAATCTACATGGAGTGAGCCACCTTTATTTCTCACTGTATTCCTCTATCTTATTGCGATGCATTTAGAACAACGTCTTGATCGATGTCATGGGTGTTGCATATCTTGCAGATTACGACGTTACTCTAGCACACCGAGGGCAACATATTCCCCCATCTGTGAGATGGGCAGCGCCAGAACGCTTTGACAGTAAAAACGTGGTCGTTCCCACGACCAAGAGTGATGTTTACTCTATTGGAACCATCATCTACCAGGTCCGTTGCGCTTATGATATTAGATGCATCGCTTGAAAATCTTGCAGATCCTTACTGGCCGTGAACCTTATTATGAGTTCAGATCAGGAAACAAGGTTTCTATCCAAATATTGAACGGAAACAAACCTTCACGATCGCACGATGCTCATATCACAGACCATCACTGGTCATTCATGGAAAAATGCTGGTTCGTCCCAGAAAATCGCCCATCTGCCGCTGAAGTGCTGCACTTCTCTCAAACGGAAGTCGAGCTTCTCACCACATAGGCCTATGTGAGGAACTCACATCCACCTGCTCATTCCTTTGCTTGAAACTATTACACTCGTTTCTCATTGCTCTCATTACTATGGACTTCATGGGGTCATGGCCACCGGCGTTGTTTTTCTGGCAACACGAGGCCCCGTTATTATTATTCTGGATGACATACATATCGCACTTTTTAAAAACCAAGTTCCAATCTATTGTAATATTTGTATGTATATTACACGACTTTTTACGTATATGTAGCTTCGGGATACTAGCACCGTACACCAAGTCATTGACTTCTACTTTCCTCTCATTACTTGCCTACTTGATACTCTTGTATACGTTAATGATGTGCTGTTGATCAGTATGACACTGCTGCTTGTGAGACCGGGAAGTCAGGTGTGGCTAGCAACGGCTACCAGTACAACTAAGAACCTTCTATTTCAGCGCTTCAGTGGTCCTTATTTCCGAACCTAGCCAAAGCCAACCCTAGTGCTTCATCGTTGATGAATAAGACCTCATGGCCATGATGCACGACGCTGGAACATACGGCCTGCAAATACATAGCGCATTCACGGATATGGCAAGCCAGACCGTCCTGGTCTTAGTGCAAAACCGAGCATTTAAGACGGGGCCACCTTCGAAAGGTAGATGGCAGATGCGCTGCAATAACACGTCGATAGATGGTGTGCACAGGTGATAACCAAGAGACTTGATCGGAAGGGCAGACCACAAGATACGACAACAATCAAGCGAGTTACATGCGTAACAGCCCGGAAGGGAACAACAAAGGACCATAGCAACCTCAGCTCCATACACGCAGATAAAATGAACGGACACAACCAGAAGGAAGGGCCACATCCGAAAGAGTTTATTTGACAGCCACATAGGGCAAGGCAGTTCACGCCGAGCACACATGAAGAAAGTGCCATACAATGACATAGCACCCGACTCGGCGCGTAAACGACATAAGTACAGCAGAAGGAGACCGACAGAATCAGGACAGGTACGCTTCTTCGAAACAAAGGCTGAAGGAAATCGGGGAGCCTCTATGACGAAAGACGCAGGCAAATCAGGAATGGATGTGGAATGATGGTCTTCAAGAAAGAAAAACTACGCAGGATCACCGCTGACCACGGTAACATACAGAGCGTTAATATCGGCCACCTGAGAAGACCAATGGTAAACGGTGAGGCATGCAACACAGCGAATGAAAACGCACCTTGTTAAATAAGGGAGGGGAAGGAACACCAAATGGAGAGGACCTGTTTCCGTTCAGGCATCAAGTACATGTAGGATTCGATAAGGAGCCTCCGGATGGATAACACAAGCCACCGATGTGAAAGCTGGAGGGTATATGTTTGACCAGGCCCCTTGAAGCTTCCCACATAGGTCTATCCGAAGTTTAGCAGGCCGAAAATCGAGACTAATTTGAGGCTTTCGGAAGGCCGATGTCTGTCCGAAGTTAGTAGATTTTAGAGTTCATGAACTCTCTACCATGTAAGGAAAAAACCGTTCGCGAGCCAAGTCGGTGCCCACTTCATCCAGTTTTGCGACGTGAGCTTGAGCTAGTACGCGAAAATGTCACACTTTGGCAGTTCTGGACAGACCCATATATATAGTGGGGCTGGAAGTTCGACCGGTGTGAAGCTTAAGAACCAAGAGGCTACAAGACGGGTAATCATGGTACTGGTGCAGGATATACCATTGCATGAAACACTAGAAGAAGAAAAATGAGAAGTCGAGGGCCAAAGACAGACACCCAGGTAATGGGATCAATCCGTGTGCGGAGAAAAATAGGTCCTAACGTGGGAGTCGCGGAATAAGATTCTGAATTTCTGACATGGCAGCCTGAGCGCCTCAAACCAACTTACATAATTATACTGTATTTTGGTTTCAGCCAATAAAACATCGTTTACACAGCCGCAATATATATATGTAAGTACAGCATTCACCTAATGGCAGGCTACGGATTCCCCATGGCCCAGCCTTTTTTAGTCGCTTTCGAACTTAAGGCCCATGAATCTAGTTTCGGCGCCTGCTTATCTCGTCCGTATCGCATCCCAGCATTCTGACGAAGTTGTGACTCGTGCACAGCGATGTTAAATATCTTTTGTCTGAAGGTGAGTGTACATCTAAGCTGGCAAATCGACGATTCTCAATGTTTCTAATCATGAACCAAACTTTTCATTTCATCAGATTGGCGGGGTCACTAGACTGCAAGTACTATGGCATTCTCTGTAAAAAAACGTCTTGTCATGTTGGCCTGTTGGTCTAAAGATGGCACTGTATAGGTCCGATATGATCCAGGACAAATCGACAGAGGTTCCTCGAGCGTGTATTCTCAGATATGATAGTTTTCCTCATCTCATCGGCGATTTGAGCGATGTCTACCGATGTACCATGGTTTCAAAGTCCCATGGAAAAATAGAGGTACCTCCTCCTTCTTTTATTCGTCACCGCCAATGAAGTTCACAACAGGTTGCTATCAAATCTTTGAGGATCCTTGATTCAAGCGAAGAAGCGATAAGAGTATTGCGCAAGGTACACGGCCACAGCTCACTCTATTCAGGCTAATAATGTTTCAGAGGATCTATGGCGAAGTGCGCGTGTGGACAACGTTGCATCATAAGAATATACTTCGCCTTTTTGGGACGACCTCAGGATTTGGATCGCTCCCCGCATTCGTGACTCCTTGGATGGAGCGTGGATCATTGACGAACTATCTGTCTATTGAATTTTTTAATCTAATGGATGGTGACAAGTTCATACTCGTGGGTCCTATTGCCAAGTGATTCAAGCTGATCGCGTTGACAACTACTCTCTGTAGCTTGAACAGATTACGACAGCTATCCAGTATCGTTTGTGCTGGTTCATGTTTTTCGCATACAGCTTTTGACAATTCCCACAGTTCACGACAGAAATGTCATTCATGGGAACCTCACTGGGGTAAGGTTGTGATTCTGGACGTGTGTTTGACAAGCTAAACAATTACAGCACAACATATTGATCGATTCCAAAGGAAATGCTCACGTAACAGACTTCGGACTGTCGGTGATCCTTGCAGAATGCGATAGCTCGTCGTGCGAAACTTACTACCCGGGTTCTATACGCTGGGCAGCACCTGAATTGATAGATCTTGCAGATGAAGAAGCTGGAAAGCCGACTACCCACTCCGACGTTTACTCCCTCGGTTGCGTAATATTTCAGGTACGCTACTTCTTATTTTGCCTTGCAGTACCTACATTTTGAGTTACAATTCAGGTGCTATCCGGAAAGCTCCCTTATGATTGGCTGGCAGACCCTTTTCATATCATGGCTGCCAGACACAAGGGTATGCAACCCATGGCAGGAGACAGTTCAGTTGACAGGCGCCACGTACCCCTTCTTCAAGAATGCTGGTCAAGGTCATCTGACAGACCGACTGTTGACCACATTCTCAGTTATGTTCAAAGTGCATTGCCACCGTAGTGATTGCAGGCAGATAATCGCCGCATGCTCTTTTCGTATATCCGTATTTTTATTTAGGTAGCACTAGTCGCGCGCTTCTTTTATATACCGTTACCATACATACACTAGTCTTCTTGAAAATATGCAGCCGCGCGCAGCGTATCTTTTACTTACATAGATCCCGACATCGCAATGGCAACGTATGCTTCTCCAGTGATATCAGCCGCTCTAGCATCTGAATCAACACTCGTTCCGAGAAACGTTTGATGAAGCGAATCAAGCGATGCTCACAAATCAAAACTCATCCCTCTTGACCCGTTGCTTCTTCTCAAGCAAAACCACATTAAACACCCCTTGCTCTTTCTTCAAAAAGTCCCGTACAACCGCAGCCCGTTCTCTGTCTTCCAGCCTGTATACGTGTTCGTTTGACATCAATCCAGTGCCCACAGCTTGAACGTAGGTGAGGCCTTGCAGCTCGGGATGTATACTTGGGAGGCGTGCAGGATCGGCAAAGAAAGGTGATGTGTCGGTTAGCGTTAAGGCTAAATCGATGGACACTGGATGCACTTGATTGGTTGATAGCATGATGTCGTTGTTGTGGCGGCCTTAGACAAGTAAGTATTAGGGAATATTGGATACTGACGACAACCTAGCAGACGTTACTGTCTCAGACAAAGTTGGCCAGTCCGATGTGAAATGTGTAGTATATCGTCACTCCGAGTCAACCAAACTAGATGTTCAAGTGATGAACTGAGTGATACGTAAGATTCAAGTGTGCGCAGGGACAGATAATGTTCCAACTTCCATTCCATGTAACTAACTGGTATATAATTGACACGGTATCCCTTAAGCTTGATTCTCGCTTTGGTTCTGGTCCAGAACGTGTTTGAGAAGCGCAGCTGGTCAGTCATGCGAACATTTACGCTCTCATGGTCAGAGCACATGAACGACCTCGCACACGTACAAGATCACAAATAGATTATTGACCCTCTTCACGCTTAGTTCTCAGATATCAGATATCAGAAGCAAGTGCTCGGAGTTGGCCAGAATGCTATTCCGAGTACCCCACCAGCTCAGGTATAATTTACAAAAACCCAGTCAGGGAAGCATAATTCAATCTTTCGCGCAATTTATCCAGCTGAAAATTGAAGCCAACAGTGACGAAGAGGAGTCAAAATGGTCAATATCAAGAATTTAACAATGCTTTTGAGCGTGCCTACCTTCAACAGCTTCGCTTGCAGGACTAAATTGCCGATGGATTGGACTCATGGTGGGGCTCGTTCAACCAATGGTGCTTCGCGTAAGAGACAAATGTAACGACTATGAAATCGATGACATTTATTCCAGCGGGGAATATTTCGAGGAAAGCTCGTCTTGATCGTGATATGATACCAAGTTTCGCTTGTCTATATCGTGCTAGAGGTATGGGTGAATTGTCGGATACAAAGAGCTGGATTGCGGTTAGAGATAACGCGGAAATTGATTCGTCAACAACTTACCACCGGAGAACGAAACAGAATTTGCCATGTGTACGGCTTATCGTCTGGTCCGTTGAAGGTCCAAGGTCTTTATGATCTTAAACTAACGTCGATACATTAAATCTAGTGCCTTACCTGTCGACGTTCTCAGTATCTTGCGCGCCTGAAACCATCACAATGTCTATCGGGATCTCATTATCGAGTAACCTCAACCGGCTACTATCGACTTCGCCAACGACGCAAGATACCCGCCCGGTGCTCAAGCGTTGAGCGTGATTTTCGAAACGGCTTATCGTGGTTTGTCCCGGTGCCGTATTGACCTGGTACATGACTATGCCGTCCGGGGTCATGAGTAGGGTTTGTGTAGGGTCATTGTGTCGCAGGCAGAGTTCCATGAAGTGGTTACGGGTTGAAAATGTACTAGCATTGGGGAGACGCCGCTTCGTGTTAAAATAGTCACCTCTACCTTAACAGGACCCAGGGATCAGAAGTGGGATCCATGGGCGAAGGCGGAGGGCTAGACCCAGGGTCCATCAATGGGCGCTTGTACGAGCTCCACAACCTGTGTATATGATAAGGCAATAGTCAAACTTTCGTGTCCGTCGTTGAGGAGCGCGATCTATGAGCAAAACCAGGCGGTCCAACTTGGGCGGTCCAAACTCCAACCGTTGGCGCGGTCTTGACAAGTCTCAACTCGACTCTCGCGCGGCCGGTATTCAAAAAAAAAAACAAGGCTGACATAATCATAGCACGATCTTCCTAGTTTAGCACATGCAGTCTCAGAGTCATCTCCTCGAGGCCTGAACACAGTCGTGCTAGAACGACGATCTACTTCACGTCTCATGCATAGATACCCTTAGAACTTCAACTCGCAATGCTTAATTTACTGCCCGCTACTCTTCGCTTCTTGCTTGGCTCAATACTTTGGCTCGACTTCTCTCAGCCACCTGCTGTCCTGCCAGCCCGCACCCCGCTGTCTTTCCAGCTGCGGCACGAGCATGCTCTAACTAATGATTCTAGGGTGATCTTCTCCAATGTGGATTCATCATTCGCCGCAGATTCGTTCGTTATGAGTACATCGAATATCCAAACGCACAGACCGCAGTCGGCGAAGGCATTTCATAGCGCTCGACTACGCTCTATTAGATATGACCAGAGCGAACAGGTATTGTGGGATACAGCCTACGTCCTCGGACCGAACGTTGAAGAGAGAGAGACGCTGCTTACACTTGCGAAGATGACCTCTAATGCATATACGTCATCCACGGCGTCAGATTGGTACACACCGGAGGGCTGGAATAAGGTGCGTTTGCCTACCTTGATGATACATTTTACAATATATTAAAAAATAACAGTCCATACCGTTTGGTTGGGAACCTGACGCAGATGGCATTCGAGGGCATATCTTTGTCTCGGACGACAACTCAACAGTGGTGCTTTCGATCAAGGGTACTTCCGCTGGCTGGATTACAGGTGGTGGTGGCCCAACTGTACGAAGGGATAAGTTGAACGATAACCTTTTGTTTTCTTGCTGCTGTGCAAAAGTTGGCCCGACTTGGTCAACGGTTTGCGATTGCCACCAGGGTGGCTATAAATGTGAGCAGGAATGTCTGGAGAGGAGTTTGATGGGGGAGAACTTGTATTATTCTGTTGGAATGGTATGTGTTAGTTCAAAGCTTAGTTTTTCGGTCTGATTCCGCTGCAGAATTTATATAATAACATCACATATTTGTATCCCGATGCCAATATCTGGCTCACAGGTGCGTTTAAACGTTATATCTTCCGAGTACTTCTCATCATCCGAAAGGGCATTCTCTCGGTGGTTCCCTCGCCTCACTTATCGGTGTAACATTTGGAGCACCTGTCGTCGCATTTGAAGCGCCCTCTGAGAAATTAGCCGCGACGCGTTTGCACCTGCCTTCTCCAGTGAGTGCAAGTCCTCATCATAATCATTCTCAAATACTGATACCTCGGATGACAATACAGCCCTCGACACAACACATCACCCACGTCTTCCACACAGCTGACCCTATCCCAATGGGCACCTGTACCGGTGTTGCTTCGTCTTGTGGCCTCGCAGGCTACGCTATGGAGACACGCTGCCATTTGGGAAAGGTCATCCGCTATGATACCGTCACGCATCTCGGATGGTCTGTTGATGTACGGACGCACTCGATCGTTCAAATCATCGATAGGTTGTTGAGTGAGGATTGGACTCAGGAAGGACAGGACAGGACGGTGCCTGAGGCGAAGGCGGATGACGAAGACTGTGTTGTAAGTCTATTTTAATTTTTGTTTTACTGCTACTTAGCATTAATTGTGGTGCCAGGATTGCTTTAACTGGGAGTTTGGCAGCTTTAAGGGCCAGAGTTAATCTCGGTCATGGAAGCGGAAAACTTATGATTACAATTGTATATGACGTATAACTAATTTGAGCTTGGGCTAGAACGTTCTGAACAGCCGTTCTTGACACTTTGAGGGAAGCCGTAGATCCCCGACTCCCTAGTTGGGTTTTACGCAAGCATGCCCTCGTTTCTGTCAAAGGACATGTCGTGGGAATATCTTGGCTTCCGCCTTGTAGCCAGAGGCGGAGTCGGGGTCACCGCCATAGTAAGACTTATCAGCACATGACGTAGATCATACAGCACGCAACCGCCATCTCCACTGAGATACCCGTATTAATTTAACTGCAAATCGCCCACGTCCCTCCAATTTCAAACGCGAGCCCATTCTGTCCTACCGCGGAGCCGGACAGTGGTAAATGTATTTGTTTAAAGCGCTGTATTGACCAGAAATAAGGGATCCAAGAATATGTCTATGTCTCGTACATCAATGATTAGACGTGTCATAAGTGTACCGCCCTGAAACCCGTCGGAAGATATAAGTAGAAATAAGAACAAAATAGTACCTACTAGTACGTGGAGATACAGGATAAACCAAAACGAAAATATCTAATCGTTCATCTTGGCGGAGGACAAATAACCAATACACAGCCAATGAAACCAAACATTGTCCTTTATTCTAACAGGTGCACTGCACTTTCCTGCTTGTCAAGTGAAGGGCTTTGACGGCCATGCAAATAGTTTTCTCGTGCACCGTGCCCCACTCCCAGGCCAGCGGCACGCGTGAGTGAAAATGATCTCAGGCGACCAAATGCCTAGGGGTAAGCTGGGTCACAACTCGGCTAAATTATTAGGTGAACTATGAGACAGACCTTCCCAGCGACTTGGGCAACAGTTCTGAATAAGGAACTCCACTGCGCTATGTAACGCTCATACCATTGTCTTGGATTGAGAGGCGATGCGCTCTACATCCAACAAATGATCAACATGAGTATGTCAATGATCGCCTTTATTGAGACTTGGAAACTTACATTGGCATCCCTAGACAGCGCCTGAAGATACCAGATACACACATTGTCGGTACCACTGGCGGCGAACAGTCTGCTGTTTCTTGCGAAAGCCGCGCACCTTAAGCCCGTAGGACGATACAATCGTCGACCAACTGACTTGTTGGTTTTTGGATTCCATAGGGAGATGGTATTATCGAGAGAAGCGGCCGCCAATAAAAGCTTGTCTTGAGACAAGACGATGGCGCAGATAGGACCAGTACGTTTGCCTAGACGGGCGACCTTTCCTTCGGCTTTACCTCTTGCCTGTACGATTCCATCACTACATCCCAGGAAAATTCTATCGCATGAAGTCCATGCGATGCAATGGACCTGCTGCGATAAATCGCATGCTTCTACAAAGCGGAGCGCCTTCCTTGTACTGACGTCCCAGAAAGTGATCATGTTGTTGCATCCGCTCGTCACGAGCGTTTTACCGTCAGGTGAATAGCATACTGCGTATACATGTGGGTGGTTAGTTCTGATAGGATGTCCAACGATATCGTCTTGGTTGATATCCCATATGAACGCCGTTCCGTCTTCAGACCCGCTGGCAATTTGGAATCCATCCGGACTCCAGCAGACAGACAGGATTGCGAGGCTGTGAGCTTGCCTCGATCTTCTGGTCATTTCCCTGGTGTCCACCTCCCACAGGCGTATCCTACCATCTTGGCTGCCGGTTACGACTTCCGTTTGCTTTTTTGGCGATACTGCCATGGCGTGGATACCTCCACTTCCTTCATCTGTCCAGGGGTTACCCACTTTTTCACCTGTATCCGCCTTCCGAACTTGGATGGAACCATCCTCGGAGCAGGTGATGATGCATCGATCTTCATCTACAAAATCGATGCATGTGATTGTTGCGGACTCGGAGTGGATTCCCTGGTTATCGAGCTGGATATGAGGTTTGACCGAACAGAGCATGGTGTGATGATGTTACAAAAATAAATATTCACTACGACAGGTGGGATGAGGTAAGTCGAAGGCCAAGGGATTTGACAGATTCAGTGGCTGGCAGTTTCGACCAGAAACTATGTACCACCTCGTTACGATTTCATGACCAGAGATGAAGGACTAGTACTCACTAAATTAGAGAACGTGATTCGAGCTAGAGCAGCACAATCGACTTTAAATAGGATGAGATGCTAAATATTGCAGATTGGATAGGCTACTGCCGCGGATGAGATCTGCAGGTGGAAAAGTTAAGAGACGGATGCAATGGGACCTTGCGTGGATTACTTATGTAGACTTGGCCCGAGTCGCACAGCAGCCGCCTACTAGCTGTGTGCCACAACAGGGGTTGACTTGACGTGTCCGAATTGTGCCCACCGCTGCCCCGCCTCATCACGGCTACTATGAAATACCGTAGCCCGTTCAGAGGAGGACTTATTTATCCTGATTCCTAGGTTTCCAGCAGGGTCCATGTCAAGTTCAGGCACTTCGAGGAAAATGACATGCAGCGCTTACCAGCAAATTCAAATCAGCTATTTTTTGTTTCTTGTCCATACTGTCGCCTCCTTGGTATAGAGAAATCGTATTTCAAAAACGAATAGAAGCCACCTTAGCCGCGGAGGTATACATGGTAACGTACTAATAAGGAAACTCCAAGAAAACCGATTCAGGCGGCACAACGTAATAATTGATTTACTAATTTACGTACAAAAGTGTATGTAATAAAAATATTAATATGTATATCGTAATACCGCTCCGCAGCTCAGTTGACACTGACGACATCTTCAAGTTAGAATTGAGCGAGCATGAGCTGAGCTGGGGTAAGTGGGCATAGCAATGCTGTGTACAAATCTGCACGGGCACCCCCGAAAAATCGACATCATCATTACTCCCGAGCGTATAAGTTATGCTGATCGCTAGCTGACCTTTGATAGCTGTTCATCCCCCTTCTGCACGTACAACCACGATTGTTACAACTTTGCATGAAATGTGAGTGAGATGTACATGACATATGTCAAACAACGTCCTCACATTTCTCTGAAGGAATCCAGTGAATCCCGAACCAGAAATACTGTCAGTACCCTCGAAAGCTGTGTTGTCGATTGCCCGACTTACGCCTAACTCAGTGCTACTGATCTTATCAATCGAACATTGAGCGCACCCGGGAGCTACAGTGATGTATACAAGTGCACATTGACGACCGGCAGCGAAAGCACTCTCGTTCGTAGTCGTCGACTTCACCGTGGGATGAGCTCAGCCTCAATTTACCCTTACTTCGCAGGTCGCAGTAAAGTCCATCCGATTTGGCAGGCACAAAGAATATTACGATGTCGGTATTTTCCAATTCCTCGGCATTGATACCTATTTTTAATGACGCCCTCAGCGAATCTTGAGAGAGATACACATGCGCAGGAGACTTCAACATCACCCAAATATCATTCAGTTGTTAGGTACCACTGGAGATTTCCAAGGTGGTAGCTTCCCTTCTCTTGTGTTCCCCTGGATGCCAAGTGGAGACCTCCATTGCTACATCGCGTACCACGGAGCAGGAATCGAGGCATCACTCAAGTTGTCCCTGGTAAATTCACAGATAATTCAAAACTTGTCAAGTAATAACATACTTCCCTAGGCTCGTGATATTGCCTCCGGAGTCACTTATCGTCAGTAATATTCCATCGGAATAGGCACTCGTGCTAACTGCTTGAATGCTTGCAGTCCATGAGTCCCATGTGGTTCACGGTAACTTAGAGAGTGTTCGTTCTTGATATTCCTTGACCATACAACTTTTCTCAACATTTTTCCAGAAAAATATTCTCATAGGCCCAGAAAATCGAGCATATCTGACCGGTTTCTCTTTGGCAACCGACCTTGATACCGGTGAACTCTTCAGAATACCCGAGCCTGGTGGAGTGCGATTTGCTGCTCCTGAATGCTTCATCGACAAGAAAGGCAACAGTTCATTCAACAGAGATATATACTCAATCGGCTGTATCTTACTCCACGTGAGTGTATGCTTCCAAATCCTGATTAATCTGAAGCTTGCATCCAGGTTTTCTCGGGATGTTTGCCATGGCATGATTCAAGATCGAGTGACATTATCAACAGACTTCGACAGCGTCGTATGCCACCACGTCCGGTGGGTGGCGGTATTGATGATTCCCTGTGGAATTTTATCAAACGCTGCTGTTCCTTTATACCGCGCGACCGGCCATCCGCAACACAAATCCTCGAGTTTCTCGAACATCAGTATGAGCCTAGTGAGGTCGAGATCTCTCCAGATGACCTGACAGAGATGCTCTGCAACCGCCCCCTGTTTCACACTGTCGCAGGAGGTTTTGCATACATAACAAAGTGTACGCTGAAGAGGGATTGGAACACTATACAGGTCGGCTGATCCTCCATAAAATAAGAGGATACATGAATGATCCATACCCAGGTAGCTGCCAAGTCGATTCGATTCCAACGCGATGTTCCAGATCAAAAGGTATGCTAGGTTCGACGTTCCACCATTGTGCTCTGAGTTGATTCATGATGTCTGTCTTGCATCAGGAGTACTTGCGTGAACGCAAGCTATGGGAAAGACTTATGCAAGAAAACATCCTACCTCTACTCGGAGTTGCGCGAGGTTTTACCACGATTCCTGGCTGCGATGCATTGGTTTGCCCATGGATGGAGAATGGCACACTCTCACAGTACATCGACAGGTATCCGGCATTGGAACTACGACAGAAATTAAAACTGGTATGTCACAGATGGAGAGCTATTGCAAAATTGATGTTCTAATCAAGTTACAGCTCTGCAACGTTGCCACCGGCCTTCGTTATCGTGTGTGCTATGGATTTATCGTTTGCCCCATTTTGATTGTCGAACATTGCAGTTCATTCGCAAGGCATTGTACATGGAGACTTGACAGATGTGTGTGTAACACTCCATATCGGCATCTGAGACTAATTGGCGGACAGAATAACATCCTCGTGGATGTCAACGGACGCGCAGTGGTCGCTGATTTTGGCCTGTCTTTCCGAATATCGGAACACACTGGGAGTTACCCCGTCACTGCGGCTGCACGGTGGATGGCACCAGAACTGGCAATGGACGACGCAACACCGTCTATGTAAGAACAATCTTGTGTCGCCTATGTATGGACCTCACCTCTTTTCACCCTCTAGACACAGCGATATGTATTCCTTTGGTTCCATCATGAATTACGTATGCTCTATGTCAATTGTGATGTCTTCAGTCGTTTGATATCGATCCCACCTTTTTAGGTCATCTCTGGTGAACTTCCCTTTGCGTCTGAACAAAAATCGCCATATCCCGCCATTTTTCGAGGCGAAGCACCCTGCACAGGTCGAGGCAATAATGTATCTCAAGAGCATTGGGATTTTATCCAACGGTGCTGGGGACACATAGCCTCTTCTCGTCCATCCGCTGAAGAAGCTTGTGAATTTCTGCGAAGCGAACTTGATTCAAACGTTTAATCGCAAAATAGGTCTACATCTCTTTGAGTCCTTGGGACATAATCGCATGCGCCCTTTCTCCTGTACCTAGGCTGTACATTACGAATATCTTTGAGGTAGATTTATATATAACCCGGCGGTGTCCACTGCCAATGTGTCGACTCTCCACAGCCCTGCAAAGGAAAATGTCACTGATTAATGATCATAAGCCGCAGCGGTGCAGTCTTTCTTGAATAGGCTGGGTTTCTACACCGATACACCCTCCTGCCATAATGTAGTGCGATTGTCTTTAGTTGGACTCCAAACTGGAAACATTCAACACGGAAACCACACTCGGTACGCACTGAAAGGTACCTTTCGAGTCAATCCACCTCGGGGTACTGGGGTATGCACCCCATGCGTAACAAGGCATTGACCAAGCGAGTACGTCGTATAAGAACAGCGCCTCGTGTGGCCAGTTCATTTGTCACCCCTGATTGTTGTTCGAATGTGGTAAGCGGAATGCCACTGGTTACTTGATGTTGCCCGTGGTGGTTTTGTCTTTCTTCTTGAATGTCACCCAGGTACACGTTCGTCAGAGGCCTTTCAATTTGTATTCGGGATACCCTCAATGTCTGCAATTGATTCACTTCAATGGTGAATTAGCGGGCAAGAGATAGCGTGACAAACCTGTTGCATACGTGATGCAGCAACTTTAATAGGCCGGGATATAGAAAATCGCCTGCTAACACTTGGAATGGGACCATCTACGACTGCAGGACGCACGTCGTCCTGTAGTTCAGAGGTTATTCATGACCAGAGACATCTAGCGACTGCGCCACTTACAAAGAAATCCCCACCGTATCTTGGTTTTCCACTTTTCGGAGTGTCGAGGGATGGAGGTACTAGTGGTTGTCGGGCTTCACGTTGGCGGGTAGGGATCGGCGAGTTAGGCTGTATGCTTATGAGCCAGCACCCATGAACCATCCACACGAGCATTACATACGTCAAAGTTAAGAGAAGGTCTAGCAGTCGTGCCTCCGTCACGACCCTGAAAGTGACACGGTGTCAGTACATGATAGGTGGATGGGATCTTATGCGAGTACCCACATTCGCATCGTCCGTTGGCATTGCATTAGAGAGAAAGTCTGCCACATCCCAAAGGTAAACTTCTCCATCGCAAGTACCAGTAGCTACTAAGGTACCATTGGTTGCGAATGCTGCACATGTCACATCTGCGGAGTGCTGGAGTGGTTGACAAATTGTTCGCTTGGTACCGAGATCCCAAAAGAGGAGGGTACGGTCATAAGAGGCGCTTGCAAGTACACGTTTGTTTGGAAGTGACAGAGCGACGGCGCAGACAAGGTCGGAGTGACCTGGTCCCTCAAGCTCTGACGGTTGACCTTCCGGAAGCTCAAGTATCGTGATCTTCCCGTCTGTTAGGCCGGTGACGATCGCATGCCCATCTGTAGTCATAGCCCATGTTGCACTTGATACATGGTTGGGATTGTTGCAAATTTTGATGACTTCATCCAGCTGAATCTCCTGCGCTTTTCCGTTGATCGTCAATCTCGAGATTTCGCGGTCGTAACCGCTCACGAGGAGTTGTGTGCCGTCATGTGAGTAGCTGATTGCGTGTATGTGTCGGAGGCGGGTGTCATCAGTACTCGTGGGATTCTTTAGCCCCGATGATACTGGCCAGACTGCTACGCTCCCATCGTCAAAGCCACTAGCGATGTAAGCGCCACCATCATGTTGACTCCAGCATACGCAATTTGCTGCAGCACCATGACTGTGCTTCTTTGATTCAGCAATTATCTTCGCGGTTCTTCCATTCCACTTCCACACTCCTATTTTGCCATCTTTGCTGCCAGTCGCGACGCGCCCACCATCTGGTGATACGTCGATTGCACAAATTTGGCTTCCCTCTGTATTCTGCCAAGGATCACCCAGAAGTTTACCAGTTTTTGCTTCTCTGACTTGGAGACGACCGTCGTGAAGACAGACGATGAAGTGTTGGTCTTTGAAGAGAAATGCAATGGTCAGTACTTGCTTGTCGTGATTGACCTTGATGACAAGTTTTCCTGGCACAAGCTTGTTGGTCCGAGAAGACATTCAGTTTGAACGTCAGGGAGCTCTAGGATTCGGTGGTGGTGCACGGCTTGTGCTAGTGAGTGATTTGTGCTAGCTGGTTATCGTGAATGGCTTAGGTGGGACTCACAACGAGATGAGAGTAAGGCGACGGTGCTGTTGTCAGGTGAGTCTTGATTGTAGCGTTTGGACCAAGTGCAGAAGAGCTTATACTGCGCAGGATACGTATACAATGTAGGAATCGATGGTGCCAGTAGGCCCAATGAACCCTGTACCACAGCAAGCATAGCATTATACTTGTCAAAGGCTCGGCATCCTGCTTCACCGGCAAGCACTCAGATTCCTGTTCGGGTCTGCCATCTGTGGCGTACGCATCCTACCTCTTGCTCATTTGGTTAGTTTCAGATGAAAGTTCTAATATAGCCCTTCCAGAACGTGGCATTCAGGAGTGCGTGTGACTCAGAAGTGTGTGCGCCTATGGATGTGGTATAAGTTTCTCGTTATCTTTCACATTCCTTCGCGTTCCTTGCGTTGTATCAGATAGGTCTATCTTCCAGGATTTAATACTCACTCATCCGCTGGCCAGAAAATGTAGGTAACCATGATAAGAGTACCATTGGACGAATCACTAGCTTATCATCTGATTTATAGGAATACCACTATGTTCGCCCAAATCTTGGGCGCCCCTGGCGTCCATCTTTTATCCTGCAACGAAGTCGCTGATTGCGAATGCTTTTAGTTCCGAGGATTATAATCTTACAAGTCGAATATTAACCCTCAAAGGACCATGTGTGTCTCGACCATATACAGAGGTGAACCAATGCAATCTCAGAGATAGTGGGAAACTAGTAGGTTAGGTTCGTCTCGTGCAGCAATTTGTTTATTTGTGTACTTCAGGTAGCAGTCAAGTCGTACAAATCCATGTCTGGCGATTCACGCGAGAATCACTCGGAAGTCAGTATACTCACTACTGGCATATGGCTTAGAGACTCAATGTGATTGCTTTCATCATCAAGAAAATTCATCCGGAATTACAGTTGCTGTCATCAAACCTTCTTCATCACGTCAACATAGTTCCATTCCTGGGCTTTAAGAAGGACAAACCGTTCCATTCTCTGGTCATGCCGTGGATGCCAGACGGCACTCTCACGTCGTTCATTCGTACTCATAAAGCAGTCCTTGAAACAGCTGCCAAGGCAACTCTTGTGAGTTGTTTTCAGATGGTGGAGTCGTACTCTAAGACCCTCCTTTTCAGTTGCACGACATTTCCTCTGGCCTTGAATACCGTACGTTGTCTTTTAAGTTATGAAACAACTGAAGCGAGCGGCCAGGTGCAAAAGTTCATCTACACTTTGTGGTTCACGGAAACCTAGAGAGCGTAGGATTTTCATTATCGTGGTTTGGGAACATATACTCAATCTTCCTTGCAGGACAACGTACTCATTACTGAGCGACATAGTGCTTGTATTTCTGGCTTCCGCCAGTCAGTGAGACTTTCCTCAAGGGATGCCACATGCCCTCAGTCCCAGATGCCGCCTAAGCCCGCAATTCAGTTCGCTGGTCCAGAATGGTTCGTTCCGAAAGACGATCCAATATCCCAACATCTCCCCAAGACTCTTTTTAAAAGCGACACATACTCCTTCGGCTGTATCATGTTTTATGTAAGACTGAATACCGTCTTCCATCATTGAGCTAAGAACTTCTTCCTCCAGGTTTTCACAATACGCATGCCTTGGCATGATGCAACATCCGGAGAAATCTCTAATCAGCTCCGGAAGCGCGTGACACCATCGCGACCTAAGGGTTCGATAGTCGACGATAAGCAATGGGCGCTTATAGAACCATGTTTGTCACTTCTTCCACAAAAACGACTATCCATATTGGATGTCTTGGAAACGATCAAGAAATACCTCGTATCTATTGGCACTCCCGACCTCACTGGACAGATCGAAAAGCGGGGTAATCATCCTGTTAGTAGCGGAGGCTATGGATCTGTCTATGAAGCCATCTGGAAGAGAAAGACTGGGGGTCGAGTCGAGGTTACTTGTTTACATTGGCATATGTCACCGACCTGATGAAAAATAGGTTGCCGTTAAGGTTATGCATGTCGAGGCTCCACGGATAGATGAAGTGAAGAAGGTAGTCGCCAAAGTCTACTGACAGATATTCATGTGCTGAACTGTTGGTTCACAGATTTTGAAGCGTGAACTTGCGGCTTGGAGAAGGCTATCTCACACAAACATAGTTTCGTTGTTGGGTACTACGACAGGCTTCGGTCATCTCGAAGGCATGGTCTCCCCGTGGATGAAGAATGGATCACTCCATGTGTACTTGAGTAAAAGGAATGACGTACCTTTATCAAAGCGTCTTCTTTGGGTGCGCTTTCCTCTTCTTCTAAATGATCTCTGGCTACATTTAGCAGATGGATGACATCGCCGAAGGGCTGAAATATCGTATGTCTGAGTTCCCGCTGAACTTTAGAGATGTCTGAAACACCGACAGTCCATAAGCACCCTGTAGTTCACGGAGACCTCACACCAGTAAGCCTCATCTGTCTATCCGGGAAGTTTTGATAATTTTTTTTTTTCAAGTCCAATGTTCTGATCGACGACGACGAAAGGGCCGTACTGACTGATTTTGGCCTCTCCATTATATTAGGCGGCTTTACTAATTTGTCGGTCACATACAATGACGTAAAGATAGGGACACTGGCCTGGGCAGCCCCAGAGCTATTCCCCGACTCCCCCGACAGTAGGCGACAGTAGGGGACAGAATTCAAGCCTACCAAGCGACGTGTACTCTTTCGCATGCCTAATATATCTGGTACGAGACCCGCCGTTAGTCTTGCTTTGGTTCTCATTTTCCTCAGATTTTTACCGGATCCCACTTGTGGAATACGACAATGCCCAACGCCGGGATGAACACTATGCTTCGTGTAAGGAAAGGCGAAAGACCTCCTAGACCAGACGCTATTAGTGATACACGGTATTGGAGCCTCATTGAGGAGTGTTGGGATCAAAAGCCAAGTTCACGTCCAAAGATCAGCGATGTCTTGCTGCGGTTGCGAAATATAACTCCTGTACAAAGATGATGACCAGAGTTCCTATGCGATATTTCCCAATACTTTCATCTGTATCATGTACTCCTGCGATAGATCTGATGAATTTACAGACGAATGTTTAACATACATAGAGAAGTCGTGGCAATATTCCACCACTCAACAGTGTGACCCATAACATCAAAAGTACATCAAAAGTCTGAACACATGTTGATCAGATCAGTGGATTGCTGCATTGTTTCGTTACGAAAAAAAACACTGTGCACACGCTCGTGTACTAAATTCCAATGCTATCGCAGCAGCTGCGCAACCCTTTTCTCATCGAGCTGCTCTGGATACACACTGTAGTGATATATTCCTTCATTCATCAAAATGGAGTCTTGATCGGACACAGGATAAGGGCTGTTGAATCTACCAACAGTACTGGTAAGATCCGATGCAAGGAAGATAGATGATAACATGCAGGTGACACCTCCGAGGACGAAACATTTCTGAGATATTAGCCGCGGCGCACCTGTGTGTAGCACGATGAAGACCTACAAATTCCCTAGTCGTGATTTGAATAGTGAATACAACAAACAGCGCCTGCGGACTTGCGAGTAAACTTGAATTTCAAATTATGTAATATCAGACTAAGGCTTTGAAATGATTTTGAGGCCGCTGGCGATCGAGAAACTCGCGGAACGCATCGCTGTTACATAAATTTGAGTGGCTGTACATTACTAAGGTTTTTTAGCTAATGTAAATTCAAGTGAACGCACACCTCTTGAGACTTCACCATCATCCGGTCGACAAGGTGTAGCGATGAGTGGACGGTAACTTGATAAAATTCCTGATCCTTATATCCGCATGCAAAATCGCTTTCGCCCGACACATCATGGCTGTGATTCCCTGTTTCCCGTATGCCCGCATGGACAAAAAGGATGAGCCTAGAGCACCAATAACAACAAAACCGGCGGTGGCAAACATGCTTGATAGCGCGGGATGCGATCACGTCATGACCGGCACCATGGATCTGCATGCCAGTCAAATGCAAGGATTTTTTGACATTTCAGTAGGCAACCTTTTCTCAGAGCCTTTGATGGTATCGTACATCAAGAGGCACATCGATGAATGGCAAAATGATATTGGCGTCAGTCCAGATGTCGGTGGAGACAAGAGGTCCGTGTCATTTTGTTTTATTGACGCCAGTTTCACTGCTCGGCTGTGGATAGGATCACTGCAATGGCAGACAAACTTAGCATTGAATTCGCCCTTATACACCGGAAACGTGATGGGAATCTCAAAATACCTCGGAGCTCATGGAGTTTCTGGTAGGAGATGTTCGAGGTAAGGAGTCTTATAGTCTGCCCGCGACTTTATTGACGATTACCCCGGTTATTTTGGTGGATGATATGATAGATACTAGCCACATGCTCATACTCGCTGCTCGGACGCTCCATGAGACAGGCGCCAAAACGATTCACGTTCTTATTTTGCATGGTGCGTGTCGTGTAGAATGGAATTGCCAATCGCCTGATGACCATCCCTGAAGGACTCTTCACAGAAGCCCACATGGCGTCTTTGAGCAGCCTTCCTATAGAGCGGCTCGTGGTAAGTCGTTCATGGCTTTCGTTGTGCTGCTAATGTGCATCGTAGATAATCTGGCTGCGACGCGTTTGCATCTGCTTTCTCCAGTCATCTTCATCACAACCATTCTCATACTGATCCCTCGGATGACATGCAGCCCTCGACACAACACATCATCCACGTCTTCCGCACAGCAGATCCTATCCCGACGGGCATCTGTACCAGTGTTGCCTTGTCTTGTGGCATCACAGGCTATATCACGGAGACACTGCCATTCGGGCAAGGTCATCCGCTACGTTACCTTCATTCACCTTGGGTGGTCTGTCGATATACGGACGCACTCGACTCGACTGTTCAAATCGTTGATGGGTTGTTGAGTGAGGACTGAACTCAGGAAGGGCAGGACGGACACTTCGATGGAAACCGTAGATTATAGTAAGACTTATCGGCAGGTGACTTGAATCATACGGCATGCAACCACCATCATCAATGCAGATTGCTGAGGGTCTGAGATATTCATTAATTTGATTGCAAATCGTTCACATCCCCTCAAATGCGAGCCACGAAGTTATCATTTCAAATGAAGTCACATGTCGTGCCGTATCCGATGCAGTCAGACAGGTGAATGAGTTGTCTAGACGCTGTATTCACCAGAAATAAGGGGTCCAGAGAATATACACAATATATTCCATACACAAAACCAAGTGATTAATTAGACGTGTCATAAATTGATTGTGCAACCCCAAACCTGTCGCGACGAAGACATAAGTAGAAACAACAACAAAATAGTATCTACCAGTACATGGAGATAGAGGATAAACCAAAGCGAAAATATCTAACCGTCCCCGGCGGAGGACATGCAAGCAACACGCAGCAAAAAACAAAACATTGTCTTTTACCTAACAGGCTAGTGCATTGCACTTTCCTGTTCGCCAGGGGGGCGACTTTGACGGAGTTTTCTCATGTACCGTGCCCGGCATCTCAAACGATTAGACGCCTAGTGGTAAGCTGGGTCACGACTCAACTAAATTATCAGGTGAACTATAAGACAGACCTTCTCAGCGACTTGGCTAACAGTTCTGAACAAGGAACTTCAGGGCGCTATGCAACGCTTATGCTATGGTCTTGGACCGGAGGCGATGCGCCCTACGTAGATGCCAAAACACATATAGGCCAATAGAGATGATTGCTACGCACATAAATATCAATGTTTGGTGTCGCATCAGAAGACCCTGGTAGTTGATGCGTGCTATCGGGCTAAGCTGGACGTAAGGTGTCAAATTGGATGGAGAAGTGAGGCATACCACGCTAGTGTTGGCGTGCCACGGACCCTTTCGTGCGTTGTTACCGGCGGGATGGATACTTGCGTTAGTCTGTCGCAACCCTTATTTAGCACAAGAAAGGGCCATTGATGTGTTGCGTACATCGTGTAGCAAGTGACCAGCTGTAGACGTTCACAGTTACGGTTCTAGCTCGCTGTCCGTAACCTGGTGAACATGAGCGTGTCAATGATCGCCTTGGGGGATATTTTAACTTAGAGGCTTACATTGATATCTCTAAACAGCGCCTGAAGATCCCAGATATACACATTCTTGTCGATACCACTAGTGGCGAGCACTCTGTTGTTTCTTGCGAAAGCCATGCACCTCAAGCTCTGAGAATGATCCAAAGGCCGGCCAACTGACTTGTTGGTTTGTGGATTCCATAGGGAGATGGTATTATCGAGAGAGCCGGTCGCTGATAAAAGCTCGTCTTGAGACAAGACAATGGCACAGATAGGACCAGTACGTTCGCCTAGACGGGCCCTTGGGTATTAGCTACCTGTACAACTCCATCAATACAGCCCAGGAGAATTCTATCATATGAGGTCCGTACGATGGACCTGCTGCGATAAATGATATGCTTCTACAGAGTGGAGCGCCTCTTTTGTCCTGACGTCCCGAAAGGTGACCGTGTTGTTGTATCCGCTCGTTGCAAGTGTTCCACCATCAGATGAATAGCGTACTGCATATACATGCGAGTGGCTAGTTCTGATAGGATATCCCGCGATATTGCCTTGGTTGGTATCCCAGATAATCGCTGTTCCGTCTTCAGACCCGCAGACGATGTGCAATTCATCCGGACTGCAGCAGATCCATGTCGAGTCCAGGCTGTGCTTCGAGGGAAAATGCCATACAGCACCTACCAGCAAATTCAAATCAACTATTTTTGTTTCTTGTCCATTCTGCCACCTACATACGTACGGATTTCAGAAATGATTAGAAGCAAATTTAGGATTGCCTTAGCGAATGGAAACATAGAACATACTGACGTGACGGCGCGGGCGCCGATCAGAGAACCTGTGAGAAGAAGGTATCGTCATATATCGTAATATATAGGAAAGGTTTTCGTCACATTGGAATATAACGTGATATAAAGCAATATATGACTATGTAAAAGCACTATAATCAGCATAATCCCCAGCAAGAACTCACCGGTTTACTACTGATGCGCCACAGTATGTAATTCGGAGACAAGTTATAACCGACTCCGATTCAGCCGCGGCCAATGTCGTAGTTTGTAAGTCGCTCCACCTTGCCCCATGAGGTTTTTCTCGATAACTTGTTCGTGAAGCGAATAAACCCCAGCGAGGGGCTTAGCGCTTAGCCCCAGTGAAAATCGACAAGAAAGAGGTAGATAGGTAGCAATAGACGTCTAAGCACAAATTGAGATAGATACAAATCTAAGAAATTCGAGACGGCAAGCTTATGTAATCATGATATGAACGCGCAGCAACACAGCATTGTGCACCCGAAGCTGGCGGTATCTCGTGCTTAAATACACTGTACAGAAATCGTGAACAAGGTTCCTGTTGATGAAGCTCCGCCCCATTCTATGTGATTAATTGATTGATGGTGACCCTACCCGTGCAAGACAAGTGATATTCCAATAAATATACCCCCCCGGCGAGAATGACTGAGAATTTGTAAATCCGACAGAATTCACTGCAGAAAAAGTCAGTAGCAAATCTGCCATTAACACCGAACTTCGACAGAAATTCACCAACGCTAGATTATCGTAGCAGCACGAGAGCCCTGACTGGCCTATCAAAGGATCAGTTTGTATACATACTGCCGTTCCTGGGGACAATTATCAAAATCGAGAACGCGGGGGTGTATGCTCGTGAGCTTGTTCACAAACATAGTATTGCCAGGCTGCAATGAAAGTCATGAGAAAATGAGGGGAAAGAGAGTAGGGATCCGCACGGGTATACCCTGGGGTGTCAGGGACCTGACCCGCACCCGCACCCGGCAAAAACCCGTACCCGCTCTGACGGGTACGGGTTTTCGGCGGGTACAACAAGCTCAGACCCGTACCCGCACCCGTGCAGGGTTTACCCGCGGGTACCATAGGTATCACCACCAGTGCTTAGCACATATGTCCAGCACACGTCAGCGAATGCTGACGTGACTCGAACATATGTGGATGGCACAAGAAGGAGGAGTGGAGGCACGGCGCGAATGACGGACGCGTCGAAATAGACGCTGATGTCGTGGCAGGTGGTGTGTCGCATACGATCAAAGTCGAAGGTGAGCGTGTCGAAATGGGAGATGGTGGTGTGGTGGCGCGAGAGTGTGATGTGTCAGGCGTCGCGTCCTCATTGCAGAAAATGGGGGCAGAGTCAGGACGGCGACTTACTGACAAGATCATTCCTTCCTCCTCTCGTTCCGCCTCTTTTCCTTCTCTCTTCGTCCTGGTGTCTTCCGTGTGCATTCGAGCCACGCCAGCATTCGCTGGCGTGGTCTGAGCGTGTACGCTTGATGCTGGCGAGTCAGTGTGTTGCGTAGGTGTTGGCGTCGTAGATGGGATGGTGGTGTTGGTGTCGTGGATGGTGGTGTTGGTGTCGTGGATGGTGGCATTGGCGTCGAGGATGGTGGCGTCGGCGTCGTGGATGGTGGCGTTGGCGTCGTGGATGGTGGCATTGGCGTGAAAGCTGGTGGTGGTGCGAGTGCTGGGCGCACAAAGATAGGCGCTGGCGACGTGACACATATGACGTCGTTGTTGTTGCTGGGGGTAGAGTCTTCAATGTGAGTACTCACTTTCAGCGTGCCCAAAGTCTCGTCTCCTCGAGTTCCTCTTTCCTCCTTCATCTCTATACCATCCCTTCTCCCTTCCTCGATTCTCTTGTCCTTTCGTCTTCGCGTGTCGTCCGCGTGTGTTTGCATCGCGTCAACACTTGTTGACGCGTTTCGGGCGCGCGCGCTGTGAACGTGGAGTTGGTGGACTTGGGAAGGCGCGTTAGGTGCCGGTGTTGGTGGTGGTGCCGGTTGTAGCGTGCACGCGGGAAGTATGGCGTCCGCTATTACTGATGCAGGAGGTGCTACCATTTATGGAAGGCACGGGTATAGCTGGGGTACGGGTAAGAGCGCGGGTCTTAGAATCCCGACCCGTACCCGTACCCCAGTAGTACCCATACCCGTGACCCGCGCGGGTTACCCGTACCCGTGCAGATCCCTAAAAGAGAGAGAGAGTACCAACACACCGAAGCAGCAGGCAAAACGGGGAGTAGGACGAAAGGGAGACGAGTAGAAGGGCGGAAGGGAAGCATTGAAGTGAGTGAGGAAGTGTGGTCCTACTATGTGAGAAACCATGTGAGACTACAGACTGAGAGAAAGTAAATAAGTTCTAGCGGACTTTTTCTCTACTCCGAGGCGTCAGGAAGAGCATGTAGTTATCTGTAGTTTAGAGTAGATGTTTTAGAGTAGAATATTTGATAAAAAGGCTGAATTCATTGTAACTACTTCGTACAATATATATACTGTTAAACGGTTAATACTATGCGTCCGATCCGAAACATATGAAAACGGACTTGTCTGTTCTCCGTGCTGTGCTTACTAATCGACACCGCTCCGGCTATTCCCGGGTAAGTCGGTGTTCCCTACATTATTCATCTATGTATGTATTACTAATCCTTTTACTCCTGTGCTCGTACAGTCATCATGTACGACTGAGTCCAACACTCCCCCTCGAGCACAGTCCACCTTCATCTTCCCTCTCAATTCCCTAAACCGTGGTGCCGGCAGTGCTTTCGTAAAAGCGTCCGCAACGTTTTCGAGCGTCGGACAATATTGGAGTTGGATGGTGCCGTTTTCGACAAGGTCGCGGATGTAATGATACCTTATGTCAATATGCTTGGTGCGTGCGCGGAATTTGTTGTTTGATGCTAACGCTATTGCTCCTTGGTTGTCGCAGTAGGTGGGGATACATTCATCCATCGGCTCGTATAGCTCACTGATGAGACTTTTTAGATATAGGATTTCGCGCGCTACCGACGTCAGCGCAATATATTCCGCTTCGGCGGTTGATAAAGCAACTAGCGACTGCTTTCGCGCGCTCCACGCTACTGGAGATCCGTGCAACAGGACGATATAGCCCGATATTGAGTGTCGATGGGGCTGACTCGCCCAATCAGCGTCTACAAACGCTTCTAAACCTTGATTTGTGGTTCCTAGGGTAAGTTTTGAATTCTTTGTCCCCTTTAGATAGCGTATGACTCGTTTAGCAGCTTCCCAGTGCGCACTAGCTGGCTCTCGCATGAACTGCGAGAGTATCGAAACAGCGAAGGCTATATCCGGACGTGTGCTCGTCGCAGCATACATTAGCGATCCAATGGCCTGTTGATACGGTACGTGTTGTTCGGGTATTTCAGGTTTGGTGTCTGGTGAATGGTCTGATGACTCTTTCGTTAGAACTACTCCAGTTTCCATTGGTGTTTGCGACGTTGTCGCATCCTTCATCCTGAATTTCTCGACTATAGTGTCGATGTATGCTTCTTGCGACAACATTATGGTCCGCGCCTTTCGGTCCCTTTCAACCTTTAGTCCTAGGAGCCAGGTAAGCTCTCCTAGGTCCGAAATCTCAAAACGTTTACAAAGCTGATCTTTGAACTTTTGGATGTGCTTTAGGTGTTTTGATGTGACGGCCATGTCGTCGACGGAAACGGTGATAACGGTATGTTCTTCTTCGGCTTGTCGATAGTATACGGCTTGGTCGACTTGAGAGCGCGTGAAGTCGTTACTGAGGAAAAATTCTTCTAGCTCCTCGGACCATTCAAAACCGGCCTGCTTTAGGCCATATAAGCTACGCAATAGCTTTAATACCTTTCCTTCGTCTCCTTCGTTCAAGTATCCTGGCGGCGCGCGCATATATATGTCGTCGTTGAGCTTGGCATTGAGGTAAGCACTTTTAACATCGACTTGATGTATTTCCCAGTTGTGCTTAGCTGCCATCGTTAGGACAGTACGAATTGTCGTCATACTTGAGGTAGGTGCGAACGTTTCTTGATAGTCTACGCCGTACTCTTGGCGCTGACCATTTGCGACAAGTCTCGCACGCAGCTTTACCTTCTCGCCATTTGGTCCACGCTTTGTCGCTAGGACAAAATGGCAAGGTATTATATTCGCGCCTTTAGGTGGGTCCACAATTTCCCATGTCTTGAGTTTCTCTAATTGACCAATCTCATAGTCTATGGCTTGTTGCCATTCCTCTGCGTCTGGTCCATTTAACGCTTCTCTAAGCGTCGGTTCCTTCTCTGCGGCTGCCATGGCCATATATGGAAAAGAATTCGATTGAGTGTTGTCCGGTGAGTTTTCCATTGCTATGGTTGCTCTTTCTCCTTCATTTAACGCTTTGTAGTATCCTGCAGGGGGTCGTACTCTCGTGGTTCTGGGCGTTATTGGGTCTGGAAGTTGCTGTGTACTCTGGGGTGGCGTTTTGGGAGGTTGGCTTGGTGTTTGTGGGACTTGGGATGTTGCGACGGGCTGGACGATATTCGGTATGTTGATCTGTTCTTCCTGGTTATACTCCCCCTCGTCCAGTATGTCGTTACGAACGATGACGTCCGGCGGGACAAAGCTAACATTGCGTTCAACAGATACTCTTCTCTTCTTCGGCCAGTATACTCGGTAAGCTTTACTTTCCTCGTCTATTCCCACAAATTGACCTTCTTCTGCTCTAGCTTCGAGCTTTCCTCCATCTGGTGAGTGCACATAGAGTCGTGCGCCGAATTCCCGTGCGTTTACTAAACTTGGTTTTGCTTTGTGTAGCAATTCATAGGACGTGTATCCTGGGATCGCCCTCGAAGGTAGGCGATTTTTGAGCCATGTTGTGTAATTGACGGCTTCGGCCCATAAAAACTTTGGTAGGTCCTTTGCGAGTAGCATGGCTCGCGCGTGTTCGACTAATGTTCGATTTAGTCTTTCGGCTACACCATTCTGCTGTGGGGAATCATGCACGGTGAGTTGTCTCTTTATTCCTTTTTCCTTCAGATATTCATCAAACTCCTTGCTTAGGTACTCTCCTCCTCGATCCGACCGTACTTTGCGCAGACGCGCATTATATTGTCGGCTTACATAAGCCTCGTATTCCTTGAATGCGGTAAGTGCGTCGCTCTTTCTCTTCAGGAATGTTACCCTCGTTTCCCGACTAAAATCATCTGTAAAGGTGATATAATACAGGCATCCGTTTATCGTTTCGGTTTGTGCCGGACCCCATAGATCTGTATGGACGAGGTCCCCATATGCGGATGATCTGGTCTTTGACTCGTTTGGAAATGGTTGTCGAGTGGCTTTGGCCTTTGCGCACGTTTCGCAAAAGGTAGGGTTTGAACTTTCATCTAACGTTATACCTCTGATCATGCCCTTCTTTATAGCATTTGTGATCGCTTCGTGGGATACATGTCCCAATGCTCGGTGTAATTCATCGATGGTATGTTTCGTTATTGCTGAGTTTGCGCTATGGGTCACTGATGCCGCGATTCGATATAGTCCTTCTATTTGAGGAATTTCGGCTATGGGTCTTCGCTCTGGTGCTGGGGTCAATATCCTGCACATGTTATCTTCGAGGTGTAATGCGAAACCGGCGGTAGCGATTCTGTTGGCCGATATTAACGTGAATGCCATCTTTGGCGTATATAGGGTGTCTTTGAGAGTCACAGTGGTCTTCTTTGTTCCCAAAGGTAGGTCTATCTTTATATCCCCTTTTCCTATGGCGCTGATGGTAGAACCGTCTGCAGTGTGCACATCTTGTGCTTCAATGGAGGTGAATGTTATGAACTTCGAGCGGTCGGGGCAGAAATGGGACGTTGCGCCCGAATCGATAATGGCTCCTTGTCTCTCGGCAGGTATGTTGATCCTTTTTGCCACATTTGCTAGATCTGACGTGACAAAAGCATAATCATTTGCTCTTTCGATCTTGTCTGCCGCATTAGCCGTTTGTCTTGGCGCCTTTCCACCTTGCCTTGGTCCCTGACCTTCTTTCCCTCCTCCAGGTCTCCAACAATCGGTTTTGTAATGACCCTTCCTCTCGCAGTTGAAACACGTAACATCCTTGCTTGCGGTGCTTGTATGATTCCTTTTCGTACTGTCCTTGGCCGAGAATGCGCTGTTGCCTCCTGTTAAGGTCGTACTCTCGTAGGATCGGATCCGAAGGACTTCGGCCTCAGCTCGTACGCTGTGCCCCTTTCCCAAGTACTGTCCCTTATTTCAGAGACTAACGATAACGCGTCCGAAGGTCCGGACGGGTCTCGTAGTTATATCTGGATGACTTCCGGATATCGGAAACACGTATAAGACTAATCCGGACGGATCCGGACTAGAAACAAACAGAGTATAGACTATCCGAAGATAGAGGCGGAGACGTAGACTATCGGAATCGATCCGAAGTCTCAGAGATCGACAAGAGTTGTTTAGACTCAAGTCCGGAGGACAGAAAGAGGACAAACTAAGATGATATTCGAACTGAGGTACTACAGGAAATATACACGGGTTTATATACTAAGAGGATAACGGAAGGATCAATAAGCAAAGGTCCGAGGCTATGTACGAAGCATATGCAAAGCTTATCAAACGCGAGTCGGAAATGAAGCATAGGATAACGGATCAGTAATCATACCGGTAATAAGTATAACCGAGACACCGGGAAGAGGAAATACCGAATAGGCTGTGTTTAACGTTATATGAACAGGAAATGAATTAAGAAGCTTATCGGATATCGGACCGGACGCGGATCTATGCATCGGACCGGACCGGATCTAAGGGTCCGAAGTCCGGAAGAGAAGCGTGGATATATGGGATATGACACCTCCTTTCTTTGAGGTCTTTGGGTTTGCTAGTTGTCTGTGCTCGTACTCTTCAGAGACGACACTGACTAGCTCGTATGGGGTGAGTGGTTGCTTTGTGATTCGGGCTGTCGCATTGATTGACGATAACAGGGGTCTGTAAGATTCTGGCAGAGATCCCATTATAATTGCGTAGAAGTCCTTTTCTTCTATGCTCGCCCCCATGCCTGCTAGCGTTTCGCGGATGCGAAACATGTCCCCAAAGTGAGTCTTCACATCACCTCCTTCCTCACATCTTGATTCTTGCAACTTCCGGCGCAGATCTATTTGAACTAATTCTGTCTTGCCTTCGTGTATTGTCCGAATTTCGGACCATATCTTCGAGGCGTTGCCAAGGTGCTGGACGCGCAACAATAGCTGATCCGAGATCGTGCTAAATAAGTGTTGCTTTGCGAGTGAGTCCTTCTGTAGATATTCATCTATCTTCTCTT